GTAGTAGTAGTAAGTAGTCGTAGTAAGTAGTAGTCGAGTCGTAGTAGTAGTAGTCGTAGTAGTAGTAGTAGGCGACGTTATCTGAGGAAGCCGCTGGCGCTCCTAGCGCCTCGAGTGGCGGGGCAACGGCCATAGGCCTGGGCTCCGTGCTCTCGCCAGCGTCCGTGCTCTCGCCAGCGTCCGAGCGAGTTCGGCTGCGGACCCGCTCGCGAGGCCGCCTGGCGTCGCGACGAGCGCCACGACATCGTCGGGGCGCGGTCGGCCTCCCCATGAGGCCCAAGAAGCCCGCGGGCCCACAAGGTGGTCGTAGGTGGGGCAGGCGGCCACACGGTGGTTGTAGGTGGGGCAGGCGGCGGGCCGCGGGCCCAACAAGCCCGCGGCCACAAGGCCCGCGGCCCAAGAAGCCCGCGGCCCCATGAGGCAAGGCCCGCGGCCCAAGAAGCCCGAGGCCCATGAGGTTGTCGTAGGTGCATCACCGCTCACCAAACCACCCCCGCCCCAACCCGAAGGCCCCGCTTTGCCCTCCATTTCTAGTGGTGGGGGGGGGGTCGGGGAACACTGAACAAAAACACACGGACCCCGTGCCCCCCAGGACCCGGAATTCGGGTCAGATTCGGGTCTTCGGGTTGGGTTGGGGTGGTCTGGTAGGTAGTCAGTGTAGTCTCGCACTTCGTCAGGCGAGACGGTGTCCGCGGCCAGCGCAGCGGGGGCTGCGCGCGCCGCGGGGGGGTGCGGGCCGGCGGCGGCGGCAGCGCCTGCGCCCCAGCGCAAGGCAGCCGCGAGCGCCGGGGCCGCGAGCCAGGCAGCGGCCGCCATGGCAGTGCCCCCCCCCCCCGCAGGGGGGGGGCTTCCTCCCTTCGCTGAGAGAGGGGCTCGCTCGCTGCGAGCCAAAAAGGCTTGAGGGTGCCCCTCCCTCTTTCTCTGACCCTCTTTCTTTTGTACTGCGCCTTTGAAGCCTGGCAGTGCTCATGACGCGCAGCCAGGCCTGGGATTCGGGCCGTCGGGTTTCACCAGGCTCGTTCGACCGTGTTTCCTCTTCGGTACAAGCAGTCTCGGTACGCGTCCTGAAATTCGAATTTCCTTCGGCCGATTTGGAGTTGCTGGCCTGGCCTCACCTTTTTTGCTCGAGGCTGAATTGCTCGTGCCATGGCACGACCGCCTTCCATGGATCCTCTGTGTACCCTCGAGTTGCCTAAGCATCTATCTGTGGTGAAACAAGAAGTCCGCGCCGACTTTCAGTATGTCGATGCCGTTTTCTCGTTTTCTAGCTTTGCCCTTCCCCTCCCGCCCCTCCGCGCGCCCGTCTCTCCTCGCCCATCTCCTCCGCCGCCCACCGCCTGCCCCATGCCGCCCCGTCCGCTCTTTTTCCCTCCGCTCCCCCTCCCCTTCATCCCTGCATCCTTCCCCTCCTTGGCTCATTTTTCTTTCCCATCCCCCGTCCTACTCCATCCACCCTCTACCTCTTCCCATCCCTCCCCCGCGTACTGGATTCTGCAAGCAGTTTGATACGATAGCGGTTGCATGACAAGTGCGCTTGGGATTACTGACGATCAAGTCGGTAGCTTCGCGAGTTTGGTCTAGGTTTGCGGTTCTCGCTTTAATGCATCTACGGGACATTTGTGGAATTCCGGAACCACCCGCAGGGGTAATTACTGCGAGCGCCATGCGAAGCCACCAGCGGTGCCTAAAACAGTTGGCAGAACCATTCCCATACGTTGCATCGGCGTCCGTGTTTCTTCAGGCTATTCCTCGCCGCTCACCGCTGCGTCCGCTCCAAGTCTGCCCCCCCTCTCTCCTTCTCACCTGCGGTAGAGATATAATATGTCCACTGCGTCTCGGATTGTCGGGCTACCTTCCCCAGAAACCGGAGGCGCAATAGATATGGTAACAATCTGACCTCAGGAGAGGCCAGATGATGATCCATATCCACCGCGTCTCGTGTTTGTAACATCCCTGCCCCACCAGTCCGAGACACCGTGGATATGATGCAAATCTTGCCCGCGTCACATCCTCCTTAGTATTATCGTCATCATAGTTGATCTCGCGCCTGTCGTCTTCCGCAAGCTCCTCCGCCGTCCGCTCCGCCTTCCTCCCTTCTTCTCTTCTCTTGCTCCTGCTCCTCCCCCCTGCTCCTCCCTTTCCTCGTCGGCATTCGCATGGCCCTGCGCTGCATTGTCTTACCTCCCCCCCTCCCCACGTCCTGCATCGAATTCGGCTTCTCGTCGTCCCCCCCCCATCGCCGCCCTGTGCTCATTCTCTACCCCCCTCATCCTTGTCTTGATCCTGATCTTTCTGCTTGTTCGTGTCATGCCCCCCCTCTGATCTCCTTCGTCCCGCTCCAATCCCCTGTGGCGGGACGGTAGTGTGGATCTCTGTTGTTGTCCGTTCGCGAAAGTCTTGATAGTTCGCGTCGCACATCCCTAACAAGTCAACCCAGAAGCGACTCCTAGGCGAATTTCTGCGAGTAGGGAACTGATGGAGAACTTGCGAAACAAAGGGAGGGGGCATTACTGTAGCCAAATGCGGGACAGGCCCAAGCAGGCTCTTGACATGATGCACACAGGGAGCCTCTTCGAGGCCCATTGGGGCAGTATCTTGCGTATTGTTGATGCAAGCGCAGGAGCACCGTTCGCAGGAGCGCAGATCACACGACTTCCTCATGGGTCTCTGAGTTGGCATGCCAGAATATGGTGTTTTGAGTTGCCATACGACATCGCGTACCGTATTTCAGCAGGAGTGTTGATCGATTGCCTTGCTGTGCCATGTCTGTAGAGCAGCATAAGCACGAGCGAGTTGTGAATGGTCGTGCGTCCCTATGTGCTTAGATGTTCACACTGTTCTGGCGTGTCGTCGTCATTGCGGTGGCGGTCATGTTTCGGGGGAAGGAAGGGGGTGACTGGTGGCAGGAGCGGGGAATGGAGCAGGCCGGACATGACCCGCTCAGGAGCAGGTACAGAGAGGGCAGTTGGTTGGGAGGAGGAGTCTGTGCTGTCTGTCTTACCCATGCGAGCTCCACATGTCTGAACTACACTCTGCATGCTCTGGGCCACGGCTCTTGTCGCCAGATCTCTCTCATTCGGGGTGCCCACGTTCCCGAGAACAACCCATACAAAGTTACGCGGCCGCCTCGTCGGGGCGCGCGCTGCCCGTCCGCCTCGGAGAGGGCCCCACGCCCCTCGCGGGCGCGCGCGCCGCGGCGCCGCGCCGCCTGCTTCCGGCGCCCCCCGCCCGCGTCCGGAGGGCCTCCTCGCTCCTCGCGTCGGTTCGGCGTCGGCCGGCCTCGACGCGCAACAGCCAGCAAGATTGTGTGGGAGGCTCCCACGAGTGGAAGGAAAATCCTACTCGCTCCTCGCCCCATCGATTGCACAGCATCGGCCGCACCACACAGATGGCGCTTCGCCGGTTGCACCACATGTGCTGCGCACCGCACAGACCATGGATTGCACTACGTAGAGTCTCCCTTCTCAAGGAGTATCAGGATATACCTCCCAGGGTTAATGGTACACCTGTTCGTCTTGCAATTTACATATGAATTTGCCCCATCCGTACATCTTAAGCATGAGTTCGTACCATCCCAGCCAGGCCAGAGTTCGACCCCCCTTTTTCATCTTTTTACAACAAGTCTTATGCTGGCGCACTCGTTTATCAAAAACCAGCATTCTCGAATAATCCCTTGCAGAAGACGAGGCGAAGCGCACACGCGCGCGTCGTCGCGCGCATGCAGGAATAGTCTGAAAACGTAAGGTGTTCGTAATGAATTCAAAATCGAGTGTCCCGAAACACACACACACACAATAAACACATGGTTTCGCAACACGGGTTTTCAACACAAGCATGCGCCCGCGCTCTTACGAATTCTTCAGAAAACCATCGTTGTTTCAACATTTTCAGAAAGTGCCACCAAACGGGCCTCTATCGCGCGCGTGTCGAAATCGTTCGAACGCATTTGCGCGCGTGCTGTCGCAATAATCCATTGCAAACAACGGGACGAAGTGCACGGGCGCGTGTCGTTGCGTCCGCATGCCGAAATCCTTCAAAAACTCCAGCAGGCATCGCACGGATTTCAAAAGCGAATGCCCCGAACACATATCGGACACTCCTGGTTTTGCACATTCGCTCGCGGCCTTGCGGATCCTCATGAAAATCTTTCTTAACATGTTCATCCAATTCTGCCAAGCGGGTCTCTCGCGCCGCATATCAATCTCATTCGAACGCCCTTGCGCGCGTGCTGGGGGGGAGGGCACGATCTGTGTCAAATAACACCACCCGGGCCACTTGCGCGCGTCGGCCGCGCGCGCATGTCGAATTTCCTCAAAAACCTTTATCGCCGACGAGAGGAAATCGTCATTGTTAATGGCGGGCGTTATCAACATCGGCGCCGTCATTGGCCTTGCCGTCGTCACCGCCACCATCGCCACCATCGCCACCAGCATCGCTACTCTCATAATCGTGTCTAGCGTCGTCGGTGTCGCCATGATACCGCGCCCGCCCAAATCACCGACTCGCACTGAAGTGCCCGCTGGGATGCCCAGCAGGCAGCGCCACCGCGGCCGCGTCGGCAGCGCCAAACCAGCTGGCCACTGCGCGCGGGCTAGCGCGGCAGCAGTGATGCACCGGCCAACGCCAAGCACTCATCGCAATCGCCGCCGCATGGGTTTTGCAAACCAAGTTGCGGGTGGGTGGGTGGGTTGGATGTTTGCAAGGGCGTGAAGTTTGCCAATTCATGTGCCACACAGAATTGCACCACGTAGGTTGAGCAACGTTGATTGCACCACAACGGTTGCGCACCACATAGATGGCACCGCATAGATTGCGCACCACATAGATTGCACCACATACATTGCACGACAGAAGTGGCACCATATATAAAGTCAGAAACAGAAGTGTTGGGACCCACGCTGGTTAACACATCTTACCACCACCCACTTTGGGAGCATCCGCCGTTTCCAGAGTCCAGGTCCGCATCTATTCCCCCCTCCCGATGGAATTGCAACCATGCCGAAGTCAGCCTTGAACGAGAACTTGCAAATCGCCTCAGCCACTGCCGCATCATACTGTGCAGGTTCCTCTGTTTGTTCGCCGATCTATACTGGGATCTCGCATTACACAACCACCAGATCCCATTCCCACCTGCAAGATGGTGTTCGTGCTCTTGGTTTGAGCGTTGTTATCCGTGTCCCTCCCTCCCTCTGCTCACTCTGCGTCTGCTACGTAGGCCCTCCAGCCCATGCTACTACTGCTGTTCTTCCCTTCCTTGTTTACTCCATCATGAAGAGGGATACTGAGGACGGAGGGTGATGGATAAGATGCTGACGATGGTGGCGATTCTAGTGATCGTCACGGCGGTGCTGATTATGTTGGTTGTGGTGATGTTGTTGATGCTAGCGATCGTGTTGGTGATACTGATGGTGATAATGATGATGATTGTGAGGATGGTGGTAATGTTCATTCAACGATGATGATGTTGATGGTGATTTTGTTGATGATGATGATTATGATCGTGATCATGATTGTGATGGTCAGGACGAAGAATACTGGTATGATGATGGCGATGGTTATCATGCTAATGATGATGAGCATGATGACGACACTGGCGATAATGCTGTTCATGATGATACTGATGATGGCGATACTGATGATGATGCTGATGATGATGGTGATGCTGATAATGATGATGATCATGATGTTGGTGGTGGTGGTAGTGGTGGAGATGATATCGATGATGATGTTGGTGATGATGATGATGCTGATGATGATGAGGATGAGGATGCTGATGATGATACTGATGATGATGCTGATGCTGATGGTACTGATGATGACGCTGCTGATGATGATGATGATGATGCTGATAGTGTTGGCGATGATGCTGTTGATGACGGCCACGAGCATGACGAACACGTCGAATGTGGTGGTGGTGCCGACGACGGATATGGCGGATGGTGGTTGGGAGACGATGGTAATGGTGTCGGTTATGTGTTTGATGGCGATGGTGATCATGATATTAGTTGCGGTGGTTGCGATCAGGCTGAGTATATGGAGAAGGAGGAACCTATGTATTATGACGGTGAGGAAGAGCTGGAGGCGTGAGAGGAGGGGGAGGAGGAGCAGCAGGACAGGATGAGGAGGCGGAGATGGAGAGGGATAAGAGGCCCACCTCCCCGTCCCCCTCCTGAGCCTATTTTTCCTGTATCGCTTCTCGTCGTTTGGCGGCCGCAGTGAGAGCCAGCACCAGAGCGACTGCCGCAGTGACCGACGGGACGAGCAGCTCGCGTTGGCGCTTGGCGACCGCACGGCGACCTGCAGGGTGTTCCCTCGCAGATGGGCAAGGGCAGGGGACGCTTCTGAGAGTCGAAGGGGTCCACTCGATCTGCGACTGGTCCGGTTGCGTGGCGTGTGGCCAAATGGGGTTGCCTGAGGCATCCGCCGCAAAAATGGATACACATACACCCTCCAATGAATTGTTCCTGGGCCTCAGGGGAGGGTAGCGGTGTATAAATCACCACTGAGAGCCAGCGATTTTATACACCGCCGCCCTACGAAGTTCCTCGGAGGGTGCCTGTGTATATATATATATATATGTATATATACATATATATATATATATATATATATTGGTGGCGTAAGGCAGCGACGGAGAGCGTGAACCGTGTGCCTGCACCGGGCCTTGCCAGGCCAAGCCTGGTCCCAGCACCGGTGCATGTGCCTTGCTCGCCGAGACAGCAGGGTGTGTGTGTGCCGATCTTGGGCTCAGGACTGGCCTGGCCAGAATCGGTGCAGGTGTGTACGTGGTGAGGCGTCCTCCCACAGCCCGGTGCTGCCGGAGGTGGCCCTGACCGAATGTAGGATGACGAATGATACATGGCCGCGGGCTGGGACACTATTTTTTCCCTTTCCCCCCTGCCGTCCTCGGGCGCGCGCCCGAGGACGTAGATTGTGTAGTTGAGGTAACATTTGAATCCGACGTCAAATGAGCATGAGACATACAGTCTGAAGCCGACGTGGAACGAGTATTAGACAAAAGTTTGACGCCGACGTAGAATTGGTATTTGACGTAAACTTTGAAATCGACGTCGAATGATTATACGACTAAAATTTGACGACGTGAAATGAGTATTCGACGCAATATTCGAAGCCGACGTGAAATAGACATACTTTTTCCTCGTCCTCCTCTTGTTGAACATCTCAAAGAAACCAAAGAACCGATGTTTCAATCGTTTCCTTTATTTGTCATCCATCGCCATCCCGCATTAAGGTGGCCAAATCTCCTCGATGGCTGACCCGTGTGGCCTGGCTCGTCGGGTGGCCCTCACGAGGGCCCCTTGACTTCGACGTTGCCGCAACATGCTGGGGACACCTTGGCCGCGAGGTCCGCCAGGGCTTCCTGTCTGTCTCGCGCCTCCCTCTCCAGGCGCTCCGCGGCCTCGTGGCGCCAGCGCGTCCGTCCCTCCTCCTCCTCCTCCTCCTGCTCCTCCTCCTGCTCCTCTTCCTCGTCCACTTCCTCGTCCTCCTCCTCGTCCTCCTCCTCCTCCTCCTCCTCGTCCTCCTCGTCCTCCATGCTGGGATCGTCCCCTAATCCCTCACTTCTCCTCCTCTCTCCTCCTCCGCTCGCTCCTCCTTCCCTCTCTGCCCCTCCGAGGCCCCGCCGCGCCGCCCTGTTCAGGACCCCATCCCCGGATCCGATGGCAGCTCTCTCTCTCTCTCTCTCCTCCTCCTCTCTCCTCCTCCTCCTCCTCTCTCCTCCTCCTCCTCCTCCTCCTCCTCCTCCTCCTCCTCCTCCTCCTCCTCCTCCTCCTCCTCCTCCTCCTCCTCCTCCTCCTCCTCCTCCTCCTCCTCCTCCTCCTCCTCCTCCTCCTCCTCCTCCTCCTCCTCCTCCTCCTCCTCCTCCTCCTCCTCCTCCTCCTCCTTATTCCTTCTTCTCGGGCCACCTCTGCTAGCACCTTGGTGCAGCGCAGCGCAGCGCGCGCGCGTCCGCGCACCCGGCGAAGGCGCGGCCGGATGGCCCCCCCATAGTGCCCGTCGTCGCAGGGCGGCCCGGGCAGGCTCCGCGGGAGCGCGGGGAGGGGGAGGGAGCCTCGAGGGAATTGGGGGGCATGAGGAGGAGGAGGAGGAGGAGGAGGAGAAGGAGAAGGAGGAGGTGGAGGAGGAGGAGTAGGGGGAGGAGGGGAATTCTGTATATCAGAGAGTGTGCGTTCTGTGGGCGCTTGGAGGGGGGGGGTTTGGAACCGGATCCCCCCCCTGGATCCTCCCCCCCTTTTCTCTCCCTTGACGGAGGGGGGGGTTTCAACCCCCCCCCCTCCCTTCTCTCCTCCCCTCTTTTTCCTCTCTCCCTTTCCTCGGACTGGCGCCGGCGTCGGCGGCGGCTGGCGGCGGCGGCGGGGAGCGTCGATGAAGACGATGATTTCTTTTTTGGGCCGGCGCCGGCGCCTGCGGCGGCTGGCGGCGACGGCGGGGAGCGTCGACCAGGACGGCGACGACGATGACGACGACAACGACGACGACGCTCCGCCACCGTGCCTTGGTTTTTGGGTCAGAGTCATTATGGATGCCTCTTGGGGTCTCGTCGGAGGCCTCTCGGGGGCCTCTGAAGTGCATTTGTGAAGCCTCCAGGGCGCCTCTTGGGCGTCTCTTGGGGCCTCTCTGAGGTGGTGGTGGTGGGCTGTGGTGGTGGCGGTGGTGGTTGGTGGTGGTGGTGGTGGTTGGTGGTGGTGGTGGTGATGGTGGTTGTTGTGGTGGCGATTGTGGTTGCAGGTTGTCGGTTGTGGTGGTGATGGTGGTGGCGGTGGTGCGGTGGTTTCTGGTGGTGGTGGTGGTAGTTGTGGTGGTTGTCGGTTGTGGTGGTGATGGTGGTGGCGGTGGTGGTGTGGTGGTTTGTCGTTGTGGTTGTGGTGGTGGGAGTGTTTGATGGTGGTGGTGGGTTGTGGTGGTGGTGGCGGTGTGGTGGTTATGGTGGTGGTGTGGTGGGTTTTTGTGGAGGTGGATGGTGCTGGTGGTGGTGTGGTGGTTTGTTTTGGTGGTGGTGGTGGGTAGTGGTGGTTGTGCTGGTGGTGGCGGTGGTGGTGGGCTGTGGTGTGGTGTTTTTTGCTGCTGGTGGTGGTTGCGGTGGTGGTGGTGGTGGGTTGGAGGTGGTGCTGGTGGTGGTGGTGGTGGCGGTGGTGGTGGTGGTGGTGGTGGTGTGGTGGTTTGTGGTGGTGGTGGTGGTGGTCGGTTGTTCTGGTGGTGAGATGGTTGTTGTGGTCGTGGTGGTGGTGGTGGCGCTGGTGTTGTGGTTTATAGTCGCGGTGGTGGTGGTGCTGGTTGTGTGGTGGTGGTGGTGGTCGTGGTGTGGTTGTTTTTGTGTGGGGTTGTGGTTGTGGGTTGTGCTGTTGGTACACTGATATCTTCTGTTAAGAAACTCTCTCCCGCCAAGCTGGGTCTAATTTTTCTCATGTCGGTAGCGAATTCCCAGCCCAGTTTCTTAACGCTGGCATCCTTTTCCTGATCTTACTCCGTATCTGCTGGATCTTCGTGCAGATCTTCCTCGAGACCTTCCTCTTGATCTCCCCCGAGATCCCCCCCGATCTTCCTCCAGATCTTCCCCAGATCTTCCTAGATATTCCCCGGATCTTCCTCCAGATCATCCTCCAGATGTTCCCCAACTCTTCCTCCAGATCTTCCCCAGATCTTCCGAGGTCTTCCCCATATCCTCCTCTAGATCTTCTCCCAGACCTTCCCCAGATCTTCCTAGATCTTTCCCAGATCATCCTCCATATCTTCCTCTAGACCTTCCTAGTTCATCTGCCTAGATCTGCCCCAGGTCTTCTCTCAGATCTTCCTCCAGATCTACGCTCAGATCTTCCACCAGATCTCCCCCACAGATCTTCCCGCGGATCATCTCCCTCCTCCTCCTGGCTCTTTTCCTATTCCTCCTCATCCTCCTTTTCCTCCTCTCCTGTTCCTCCCTTCTCTTGCCTGCGGGCGACACGCGATATCGTTCCCAGGTATCCTGCCGACATCCTTCCCAGATAGGTTTCCAGATCCCTTCCCGTTTGTTTTCCCACCATCTATTGTTACAGATCCTTTTCAACAGATTGTCCTTCAAATCTTCCCCCAGATCTTCCTCCGAATCTTCTTATGTATTTCTCCAGATCCTTCGCCAGGTTTTCCGCCGGATCTTTTGTGTTTTCCCGCCAGGGTTTCCGTTTGATATTTGCCCGGTTGTCTCCCCAGATCTTCACCCAGATTTCCATTCAGATTGTTCCAATTGTTTGCAATGTCTTCCTCGAGATCGTCCCCGATACGTTGTCTTAGATTTCTTCCCGGACTTTCCTCCAGATCTTTCCCGAGGTCTTCCTCTAGATCTTCCCCCAGATGTTCCGTCATTTGTTCCTCCTGAGTTTCCTTAGGGATGTCTTCCACTTCTTCCTCATTTCGCCCCCCAGATCTCCCGTTGGGTTTCCAGATCTTCTTCCATATTATCCTCCACATCTCTCCCCAGAGCTGCCTCCAGATGTTCCGCATAATCCTGCTCCAGATACTCCCTCAAGATATGTTCCGATATCTTCCTCCAGGTTTCCCACGGTTCTTCTTTCATATATTATTTTAGATCTTACCCCAGATCTTCACTCAGATCTTCACCCAGATCTTCACGGAGATCTCTCCTCCAGATCTTCCCCCATATCTTCCTGCAGATTTTCTTCCAGATCTTGCCCCAGATCTTCTCCAGATCCTCCCCCAGATTTTCACCCAGAGTTTCCCCGAGATCTCTCCTCCCGATGTTCCTACGAGATCTCTCTTCCAGATCTCCAGATCTGCCCCCAGATAATCGTCCAGATCTCCCCCTAGATCTTCACCCAGATCTTTGCCCAGATCTTTCCCAAGATCTCTCCCCCAGATTCTCCACAAGATGTTTCTCCAGATCTTCCCCAGATTTTCCCCAATTTTTTATTCAGATCCTCCTCCAGATCTTCAACCAGATCTTCACTCCGATCTTCCTCGAGATCTCTCCTCCAGATTTGTCTCCAGATCTTCCTCCAGATCGTCCTCCTGATCTTTCCCAGATATTCCCCCAGATCTTCACCCAGATCTTCCCGAGATCTCTCCTCCAGATCTTCCCTCAGATTTGTTTCTCCAAATCTTCCGCCAGAATTCTTCCAGCTCTTTCTTCCCCGAGTTTTCCAAACAATAGATCTTCCTCCAGATCTCTCTCCAGATCTTCCTCCAGATATTACCCCAGATCTTCACCCAGATCTTCCCCTAGATCTTCACCCAGATCTTCACCCAGATCTTCACCCGAGTCTTCCTCGAGATCTCTCCTCTAGATATCCCCCAGATCTTCCACCAGATGTTTCTCCAGATCTTCCTCCAGATCTTCCCCCAGTTCTTCTCCACATCTTCGTCCAGATCTTCTCCCAGATCTTCACCGGGGTTTTCTTCGAGATCTCTCCTGTCCTGTAGATATTCCCCAGATCTTTCTCCAGATCTTTCCTTCAGATTTCCCGCCGGTCTTTGTCCAGATCCCCCGCCACATCTTTGTCCACATGTTCCTGCATGTTGTGTTTCGTACAAGCATCATCACTGGCGCAATCTTTATCAACACCACCAACACTGGCGCCGCGCTGCGCCCCAGAATTGTACGCTTCAAAGCTGATTCTGCAACAGGGCTGAGAAATTCAGCGAAGCTGGATCTAAATTTCTGACTGGCAGACTCAGCATAAGTTTGAGTGTAGTGGTGGTGGTGCTTGTTGCGGTGGTGGTGGTGGTGTGGCAGATTGTGGTGCTGGTGGTGGTAGTGGTGGTGGGTTGTTGTGGTGGTGCTCGTGGTGGGTTGTTGTTGTCTTGCTGGTGGTGGTGGTGGCTGAAGGGGTGGTGGTTGTGTGGTGGCCTGTTGTTTTTTTGTGGTGGTGGGTTGTGGTGGTGGTGGTGGTAGTGGTGGTGGCGGCGGAGGTGGCGGTGGCGTGGTGGTTTGTGGTGGTGGTGATGGGCTGTGGTGTTGTTGTTGGTGGTGGTGGTGCTGTTGCTGGTGTTGGTGCTGGTGCTGGTGGTGGGTGGTGGGTGGTGGGTGGTGGGTGGTGGTTGTGGTGGTGGTGGTGGTGTTGCGGTTTGTTGTGGTGGCTGTGGTGGTGGTGGGTTGTGGTGGTGGTGGTGGTTGTGGCGGTGGTGGTGGTGATGGTGGTGGTGGTGGTTTGTGGTGGTGGTGGTGCTTGTGGTGGTGGTGGCGGCTTTTTGTTGGCTGTGGTGGTGTAGTGGTTTGTGGTGATGGTGGTGGTTGTGGTGGTGGTGGGTTGTGGTGGTTGTGGTGGTGGTGGTGCTCGTGGCGTTGGTGGTGGTGGTGGTGGTGGTGTGGTGGTTCGTGGTAGTGGTGATGGTGTGGCCTGCGGGTCTTCGCGCCAGGGGGCGGGGGAACTCTCCCCCCCTGGGCCCTCTCCGGTCATCGTCGCTGCGTCCCCGCCGTCGGCGTTGCTGGCTGCCGCCAGCGCCGCCGCGCCGGCGCCGGCGCCAATGGGGGGGGGGGTTGGACCACCCCCCCTGGAAGGGAGGAGGGGGCTTTGGAGAGAGGGGGGTTTAGGGGGGAGGGGAATGCCCTTGCTTCTGATCGACGGCGCCGAATGTAGGGGGGGGCCTCCCCGGTTCGAAACAGGCCGCCGAATGTTCCCAAGGCAAGCGCCCGTGAAACGCGCTCTCGCTTATATCAACATACGGTGGCATGCACACGAACTTTCGAAGGTCCGCGCCGATCTCTCGGATCGGCGCTGGACACTCCCTCCGCAGCGTGTGGAGCGCGGCAGGGGTGCTCCAAGGCGCCGCCAGGGGGATCCAGCACAGATCCAAGAGACCCGAGCGGACCGTCAAAAGTATCTGCTCGTGCCGCAGGTGGAGGGAGTGGTGGCGATGGTTATTATGCTGCTTATGACGCGTACCAGGTATGCGTCGTGATGTTTTTTTCGAGTGGTATGATGGTGCTGTTGATGGTGTTGCTGATGATGATGATGTTGCCCGCACCCTTGTGGCGATGACGATTACACGTATGCTGATCGGGGTGGTGATGGCGACGATGACGACGCTAACGTTGCTGGTAATGAGATTGGTGGTGGTGATGACCATGAAGATGACGGTGGTGGCGGTGATGGTGACGGTGATAAAGATGATGGACGGCGACGAATATGACGATAATGACGATGATCGCCTGCAGGAAATCCCTCCCTTTCTCTTCCCCTCCCTCCCTCCTTCCTCCTCGTTCCCCGCATCCACCTGGCACTGTCGGCGACAGATGGCGGAGTACAACAAATCTCTCCCCCATGATCTCTCCTCCCTCATCTTCATTCTTCCCTCTCCCCCGCTTGGTTTCTCGCTTGTTCGTTACACTGCGATCTGGTTCGCAGTGTCTGCTGGTGCGTGCGAGGTGGTTTTGGGGGTCTGCATTCCGACCTGCCCCCCACACTCACAGATACGACGCACTCACATGTTCTCACACCCGCTAACTCACACGCAGCACATCACACGCGGACACTCACAGGCACACGCAGGCACACACAGCCGCATGCACACACTGCTTGGGGTCGCGGCCACGCGCGCAGCGGCGCGGCGTGGGCAGTCGACACACACATAAACACACCCGAACGCACGTACCTACACACACACATACGCACATTCACACACACACACAGACACACACACACACACACACGCACGCACTCCGTTCGGCGCCGCGGCCACGCGCGCAGCGGCGCGGCGTAGGCAGTCGAGAGAGACACGCACGCACACACAATCACATACATACACGCACACGCACAAACTCTCTCACACACACACACACACACGCACGCACGCACGCACTCAGACATACACACGCACATACACACTCACACACGCACATACGCACTCACACACATACTCACCCTCACGAACTAACGCATGCAGAACACACACACACACACACACGCGCACTTTTTCACACACGCTCTCTCTCCCATCCCATGTTCTCTCCAGCTTTTCGAATTGCATCGTTCTTGGCAATCTCGGCATCATATTTGCGCAATGTGCAGATTGTATGGTATGCTCGATGCTCGAGCAGTGGCCAACCACTGCGGGTGTTGGGCCCGATGCGGCTGCCCGCGGGGCAGACCTGCCACTGCCTGCCGCGAGGGCCCCTGGGGGTTCGGGCAGCACGGGCCCCATTGGGCCCCTGCTCACACAGGATGTCTGCGGCTGGTGCTTCGGGGAGGCTCTCCTGGCGTCTCTGCGCATGCCCGGGGCCCGTCGTCGCGGCTGCACCACGGTGAACTCAGGCCGCCCTTTCGGCGCACACCGATTTCGCTGGTGTTTGTCCCTCTGCTGCTCGTCGTCGTCGTCCTCCTTCGTCCGTGTCCTCCTCGTCCTGCTCTCGCTCGTCCTCCCCTGTCACTTCTCCTTCTGATCGTCCTCGTCGTCGTCGTCTCGCATCCTGCTCCTGTCTTTGTCCTGCTCCTCTCCTCTTCCTCGGCTTCCAGCGGGCTGGCCAGGAGAGGGCCGGGCAGGCCGCAGGCGATGGCGGAGCTGCGGACCACCCTCGCCCTCGAAGAGGAAGAGGAGGCTCCAGCCCCCAGGGGGAAGAGCTGGGATCACGAGGAGGAGGAAGATGAGGAGGAGGAGGACCAGGATGATGAAGACCACCTTCGCCCTCAAAGGGGGGGAGAGTAGGGAGACGGCCGGGAGGGAGGCTGGCCACCCTCGGTCTCTTGGAAAAGGGGCATGCAGGATGTCTTCCCCCCCACCATCGAGAGCCCCTTCTATGAGCAGGAGGAGGGGGAGGATGCTCCGTCGACTGTCGTTATGCCGTTGGGTCGATATCTGATGCGATCACAGGCGGGTGGGGGCCGAGAATTGGGGGTGGGTAGGAGGATGGTGCCCGTGCATCCCCTCGTGGATCCGCATCGCGCCGCAGCATGCACTGTTCTTGTTTGGATCAAGGTGGTCTTGTATGTTGCGACACGCCGTTCTAGGCTGCTCTCGGGCCTAAGGTCTTACAGCTGGGGAGCACGCGTGCATGGATGCTTCACTCACCGTGCACTTGCTGTCTATGATGCCTGCCACCTGCCTGCTCTTCAGCACCTTGGCGCGCCACCCAGGGGCGTGACAATGCTAGGATACTGCACGAGGGGGAAGGCGCAGCCAGGTCAACGAACTCGGAAGCGTGTTGGAACCTCTCCCCGGAGTCTGCTACGGGCACTGCAAGCTTCGGCTCGGTTCACTGCCTTCGCTGGGTCAGGTCTGCTGGGCCGCCGACTGCACGGGCGACTCCTTCGCTTGTCTTTGCCGCACGTGCGAGTGTTGGACGTCTGGCCAGCGAACGGCCAGCTTGGTCACAGCCTGCAAGGGCACGCCGCTCACCCTCGATGGCCAGCCCCGGACAGCCGATTCGTGGCTCGGGACGTGCAGGAGCCTCCACCCGAAGGGGCCTCGGGCCACGCTGCCCGTGAGCTCGATGGTCTCCCTCGGTGGCCTTCCGCTTGGAGCGCTGGCCGAGGGTGCCCCCGTCCCTGCCACCCGGGCTCGCGCTCGAGCTGCGCCGCCCTCTCTCCCTGCCTCCGCCTCTGCGGCTCGCCTTCGCTGGGGCAGAGGGGCACAGCTCAGCGCCCGCAGCCTCCCCTGCACGCTCTTGGCACGGGGCACCCTGCCCTGCGACGGCCCGCGTCAGAGCGTCCCGCGTCCATCCCCTTTTCCTTATGGGCAACTCCTGCTTGTCGCGTTTCCAGGCGTGTCGGCAGGGCACATCCCCGCTATGCCTGACCTTTATGTTTGACAAGTGCAAGAGATTTGAGGATGTAGGGCGGGCCGTTTTAAGTGTGCCTCTCGCCTTAGCGCCGCGGGCATCCGTCTCGAAGCTAACAACGGTTTCAAGAATGGAGGGCGGTTGGACAGTCAGGGTCGTTTTCAAGCAGTGGCTTTCGCCACAGCGTCCCGCACGTTGCAACGCTTGCACCAGCTTCAAGGATGACGGGCGGTTCCGTTTCACCCTTGCGCCCTCGCCTTAGCGCCGCGCGTATTCGTTTTACCTGTGCACACGAGTTCCAAGGAATGCACGATGTACGTTTATCAGCGGTGTGGACGTCCCAGCAGGAATTATGTTCCGATGTTGCTTCTGATTGCCGGGACGCAACATCCATGCTGATTTGGAGCGTTGGAGATTCCTGAACTATGTTTTGAAGGGTCCGCGTAATGAGGTTATGTTCTGTAGGGGCTTATGAAGAGGGAATTCGGGGAGAGGAGGGGGAGGGAGGGGTTCCCCCTCACTCCCTCCTCTTCCTCCCTCCTGGAGTCCACACATCGGGCACTCCTCCCAGACCCGCCCTGGGCCGAGGATGAGCCGGAGTACGTTCAGTTCAAGGCGTGCCGCGCCTTTGCTGGCCGCATTCGTCCTGTCGCCGCCCTCGTTCTGTCGCCTGTTTTCTGCCAGCGCGCCTGACTCAGGAGGGGAAAGGGACAGAAGCAATACACGTCGGTCGTTGCAAGGTGTTTTTTAGAGTTCCAGGTCCCAATCGACTTCAGTTGCCTTCTTACTTCACGAGTCGAGCGGTTTTTCTTCTTCCTTCGTCCTCAGGGGGCGGGCAGAAGCCCAATCCGCTTCAACTCCTTCCTACTTAATTTGTCTACTCACTTCTTCCGATCGGCGGACAATCGTCGATCCCATGATATTTGAAAAACGCAGGCAGTTGAGGGGACGGCGAACCTTCGCATGATATGGAAGACTATGGATGGTGGATCCTGGGATGCGTGCTCATTTCTATGCCTGTCTCTGGGGCTCTTCCCTGATGTATCCTTGAGGCTCAGCATGAAGTCGGGCCTGTCCCTCTACAGGGGGAATACTAAAAAATTGTCAAAAATAGTCTGGGGACTATTTTTGGAGTATGTTATGATAATGTTGGAGTGTTTTTTGAGTATTTTTCATTTTTCGCCGAAAATCCCCCTGTATGGGGACACGCCCGATTTAAGCTTGGCGTGGACAGAGGGTCCTGTGCCCCCGGTGCCCTCTGCCAGAAGCTGGGCGTTTTCGCGGGGCCACGCGCGGCCCGCGGGTAGTTTGAGGGAGCTCGGAGCCCCGGGGCCCGTGCAAGCGGGGGTCGGCCGGAGCGCCAGAGTTGTTCAAGCGGTGGCGAAGCGTCCTGGCTCGCCTAGAGCCCTACAGTCAAACACCCCAATAAGGACGCGCGACTTTGCTCAGGGTACCCTGGCGTCCTTGCTCTTCCTTGCTCTTGCGTCCTTGGGGTTTTCGTCGTCCGCCGCCCCAAAAATCCCAACTTCGGCTTCCAAGGGTCTCGCGTCCTTACCGCGCGTCCTTATTAGGGTGTTTGACTGTACCAAACAGTGTTCTAAGAACCTTGTGTGGCTTCCACGAGCTGTTCTCAGAGCACTTCCGGCGGAGGCCGTCTTGTTTTAGCACATCGCGTTTATGTTCTAAGAACATGATTTTCGTTCTGAGAACACGTTTGGGTTCCAGGAACATTTCATGATAGGACTACAGGAATGCTGGGACGGTCGGTCCTTGCTCAAGCCAGAGCGTCAGATTTTTGCATGGTTTTGTAAAGCCAGGGTTGCATACACCCACGTTGGCGCGCAGGGTCCTGCAGGATCCTGCAGGGTTTGCAGGATTCTGCGCAGCCTGACTGACCTAGGCTTGCATGGACCCCAGTTTGTAGAAGCCCTAGGATTCGGGGGTGGTGTCGTGTTGTGCATTTCAGGGCGGCACCAGTTTGATGCGGCGTGCGTCAGTACTGTTCGTGTCTGGTGGTGGGTTGTGCCCTGGCGCTCGACAGCCTGGGATTGCCTCGGATATGATCGGATGTACTTGGGTGGTCTTGGACAGTTTCGGGTAGCCCTTAATTTGTCGCGCAGACAATGCCGCACATATCCCCGACGCAGCAATGGTATGTGCGAGAGCTTCCCGAGCCCGTTGTTTTTCACGCTTGCGTATCCCGACTCAGCTTACCCAGACCCCATATGCAGGCGATTATCTGTGAGTCCCTCTCGGGTCCCATTCAGGGTGCCTTGTGGTTCTTGGGGACCTTCGGAGCTCACCTGGGGCTCTTCTGGGCCTCTCTTTTAGGCCCTCTGGGGCCATCTCGGGGATCATGCTGAGGCCTCAGAAGCCCATTCGAAACGAAACACGATAAAAGACATACTCGCACATAACAACCCCTTAGGTTATGATGCTCTGGGCTTCTCGGGGCTTCCTTGTGAGGCTCAGTGGTCGCCTCGGGCTATCTTATGCCCATCGCTGGGCCTGTTGGAAGCATGCTGGAGGGTAGCCCGGTCCAACCTGGGCGTCTGCCTGCTGCCATCCTGGAGGCCACCATGAGCGCTCTGCCCGCTCGCGGGGTGGCGGCGTCCAGGCCCCCGGGGAGGCCTCCCCCCAGCACCACCGACCCGCACATCCAGCCGACACCGTCCACGGCACCGCCGTGGGGCGCGCCCCGCCTTGCCTCGGCAGGCCTCCCAAACCGTCCAAGATGGCCTTCATGGGGCGGGGTCAGGATGAGGGTGAATCCGTTCCAGAGCGTTCCGGAACGCTCTCAGAGCGTTCCGGAACGCTCTGAGAAGGCCGCGGCGCCCGACACATTCTCCAGAGCCGCCGGATCTCAGAGATTCTCGGTCTATCCTTTCCCGAATTTGTTCTTGTCCCCTGGCTCCGTCTTGCTCCAATACGTCCGTGCTGGGACCAGATGGCACTTGGTATTCTAGACGGCTCAGGTGGCCTACAAGATTCCAGGCCGCCCAAGTTGGGTCGAAGTAGTTAGATGGGGTCGGTGGGTCGCCCCGTATCGCCGATGCATCGACGGTGCGGCTCGATGTGGAGCCCTAGTTTCTTCACGCCGACTTCGCCGCATCGTCGACGTTGCCGACGCGTCGGCGCGATCCACCGACTCCGTGTACTTTGACCCCATTGTGGCGGCCTCCAAAAACGGACACGATGGGCACAGATAGCCTGCAAGCCAGCGCACCATAGCGCCCATACAGCCCAAGATCGCCCCAAGAGGTCCGGCATACTTTACAGTCATTAGAACTTCTATGCTTCACGTATGTTCACATACTCGCCTTGTTGGGCTTCAGGACGCCCAAGGCGGCCCAAGTCACGAGACCCCAAGATCGCCCCAAGAGTGCACAAAAGAGCGCCACGACAGCGCGAAGACCACCCAAGAGAGCACCACAATGGCCCCAGACCGCCCCAAGATGCCCCCAAAGCCCATCCATCTCGTGACTCCATCGCTGTAGGGAACTGTAGTTGGCGGCAAGGTGGCCCGACAAGCCCAAAGGGTCAATCCGTTGTCATCTTGGAAGCGCATGCAGGTGGTAAATACCAAGCCGACGCCTGCTGCACGTTGCATGTCTGACAGGCATTTAGGTTATGTGTACTTTTGTTGCTTTATCCGAGCCGTGTGGTTTTTGTTTGCGCTTTTGCTTTTTTTTTGCTTGGTGGGCATTCAGCTTGTTGTGCTGGAGTTGTCGTTGTATGGCGCCACTTTGTTCTCGCGAAGTCCTTTGGGTGCACTTTTGGAGCCCATGCACGCCTCCGCGCGCGACACATCGGTTGCATCTCCTGCCGCTCAGCGCGGTTACGGCATGATCGTCGTCGTTGTTTTTTGTTGGTGTCGTTGTTGTTGTTATGAATGTTGTGGTTGTGGTTGTTGTTGTTGTTGTTGTGGTTGATGTTGTTGTGGTTGTTGTGGTTGTGGTTGTGGTTGTTGCTGTTGTTGTGCTTGTTGTTGTTATTAGTATTGTTGTTGTTGTTATTGTTGTTATTGTCGTTGTTGTTGCTGCTGCTGCTGTTGTTGTTGTTGTTGCTGCTGCTGCTGCTGTTGTTGTTGTTGTTGTTGTTGGTGTTGTTGTTGTTGCTGTTGCTGTTGTTGCTGTTGTTGTTGTTGTTGTTGAACATTATTTATTCTAAAGAATAATTATTGTTGGGCCCCCTGGTGCGCGCCCCCCCTGCGCCGCCTAGGCCGCAGCTACATTTTCATCATTTTCGTGAGGAAGCCTCAGAAAAGAGGGTGTGTACAGGATCCGGTTGTTTTGTTGTAATCCGCTTTCCCTTGCAAAAAACAATAGAAAATGACATTTCTTGTTCTAATATAATCAAATTTCAAGAATCCCTTGCAAAAAATAAGGTAAAGTGGACATTCGCGCGCGCAAGACGAAATCCTTCCAAAACCTTAGTGTTCGCAGCGATTTTAACATAAAAACATCAAAAAACCAATGGTTTTTCAACAAAAAATGTCAAAATCTCATCCCGCGCGCTCTTGCGGATTCGTAGGAAACCCAACACTTTTTAAACATTTCTGTCAAACGGGCTTTTGCGAGCAACTTTTTCGAACTTCTGCGACAACGGTTGCGCACCTGCCAGGGCCATCATCCCTGTCAAATAATACCATGCGGGACACATTCGTTTTTTCTTCGCGCGCGCACGCCGTCGTCGTCGGCCGCGGGGCCCTGAATAGTAGCCACGGTCGTCCGCATGCCACGAAGTGAAGTGTCCGAACGTCATAGGGCGGGAAGCTGGGTGTGGGTGGTGGCGAAGAGTCGTTTGGAAATTTGGTAGAGCTTGAACCGGCCCCCCCACAAAGTGGGGGTATTGCCCGCCTCCTATGAAAACCCTGGCACTGGTGAGAACGGAGTGTCCCCAGTCTTAAATGATTGTTGTTGTTGTTGTTGTTGTTGTTGCTGTTGCTGTTGCTGTTGCTGTTGCTGTTGCTGTTGCTGTTGTTGCTATTGTTTCTTTCCGTCGTTGGTTGCGCTCGCCTCCTTGGCCCTGGGTCGGGGCTTTCCGCGCGCCCCGGGGCGCCGTCCGAGAGGGCGTCCGGCAGTCAGGGCCATCCGCGCAATCTTGCATCGCGAGCACGCGGGGGGGGCCCCGCCCGACGGCCTCGAGCGCCGCGCTCGGGCCGCCCGCTCTCGCTCCTCTGCCCTCTCTCTTCCCCCCTGCTCATTCTCCTCCTCCTCCTCCTCCACCTCCTCCTCCTCCTCCTCCTCCCTGTCTGCACGCCCGATTGTCGCCCCTGGCAGGCTGTCGCTCGGCTGGCCGGCGCAGTGGATTCTCAGGAGGAAGAGAACACACAGACACAAGTAATCGTGGACTCCCCAGGAAAATATGGGAAAGTATGGGAAGTGGGGGGGAAGACAAAAACCCAGAATATATGGAAAACATAGGGTCTCCTGTTATTTGTGTGCTTTGATTTGTGTGTCCCAGGGCCCCTTCAGATTCGGCGCCAGCCTTCAGCGGCGCGGTGCGCCGTGCGGTGACGCTCGAGGCACTTGTTTTTGTTGCGGATTGCTGGCGATGCACGCCCCGCCGCTGATAGCTGCCCGCTCTGGCCGGTGGTGTTAGCCACGAGGCTCCCATCTCGCTCCAAGAGGAGGACGCGGTGCGCCGCCGATGTCAGAGTGTGAGTCAAGGCGCTTTCATCGTCCTCGTGTTCCTCCTCCCCCCTCCTCGCCCCCATCTGCGTCGTTTGGAGGGCGTTTGTAGTGTGTTACTTTGCCGTTCCAACTCTGAGCGGGTTGCCGGAACGATACCCGATCGTAGTCGGTGGCAGGAGACTCCGCTGTCACAATAAGAGGCGATCTGAGAATGCTCCGCGGGCCAGTCCGTGGCCCACCATGTCTTGTCGGCGGTCTTGAGCCGTAGTTTTAGACTGCCAGCAGTTTTCCACCTTGAATAGTCCCGCGCTCTTGCAGCTCTGACCTCTGTCAGCCAGTGACGGCCAGTTCTTTGTTGGCACTGAGGCCTGACGGATTGTTACGTTTGCAGTGCATTTCTCCAGTGATCAGTTCTGGGCCATCTACCCCAAGTGCGATTTCTGGACATGCAAACGCACTTAGTGTTCTGTTCCTCTCCTTCCGTCTTGATTTCGTCTTTCGCTATCTTTTCCCTCCCCCCCATGTCTTGTGCATCGCATGGAAGAGTTCCCTGTCCCGCAATGAGAAGCTGGCAATTTTCGCCATCACTGCATTGGTTCGTGATCTGAAAGGCTTTTTGAGTCAGTCCACCTTGACCACGCGGGGTCTTTTTGAGTACAGTTGCGTCATTGAGGGGTTCTCCATGTGCCGTTTCATTCAGGTGGAATGTGTAGGGACTTGTTTTCTTGTCTGCGAGGGATACCCCGACGATCGGGAACACGCATTAGCAACAACGCACTTTCCACTCCTGGTTTGGTTTCCTTGGTCTTTACAGGTTGTTTGCTCTATCCCGCGCTCGATTTCTGCCTTGATGGCAACGCACTAGGTTCGGTGATTGGTGATGCGCGGTGGTTTGCGATGGTTTTGAGGGCCATCTAAATTGCCGCGTCGGAAGTGCAGGAGGTATTTCCCGCTGGGCTGGTACGCGTGATACGCAGTGGGCGTGCACTGTGGTGCGCCTGCTATTCTTTGCAGGCCGCGCTGTATTGGGTGAAAAAGCGGCCAAATCCCACGAGTGGAGTCAATGTTGTTGTCTGGTGTCTCATTTCGACGGGCGGGTTCGAGGGCCTCGAGGTTTCCGTGTGAGTTGGGCACGCACCTCTGCCCCCTCCGATTCGTGCTCCGTCACTGGACCCTCCTTCACCCGCCCGTCGAGCCAGGAGGAAGCGAGGAGGAGGGGGATGGGGGGGGGGAGGGGGGAGACAGCAGGGAGGAGGTCCCCGTTCTGCTCCTCCCGATGCTGCCGCTCGTCCTCCTCTCCCTCCCTCCTCGCTCTCGCCGCCCTGCACGCTCTCAGTGCCGGCCTTCGAGGCGCGGGCACCCGCGCGGCCTGCGCGGCCCAAAACGGCCGGGCCCGCGAGGCCAGGCAGCCAGCCGCACCGGTTTGGCCTCCTGCGAAGGCCTTGCGGCCAGCGCCGCCGATCCTGAAGGGGGACGACGACGACGACGACGACGACGACGACGACGACGACGACGACGACGACGACGACGACGGGCCTGTTTTCGATTGCCGCGTGGACGACGCCCCGGTGTCGAGTGCAGCACTGTCTCGGCAGGGACACCAGCGGGGCCCCAACCGAACCGACGCCTTCGCTGGTGCCTCCGGCCAGGTCATCTTGCTCGGCGACGGGGCCGTCGGGAAGACCTCTCTTGCGATGAGATTCTGCCAGGAGCCCTGCTCACCAACACTGGGGAAGGCTCAGTGATTCTTGGAAACGGCAGAGCCGTTTCCCCACTGTTTCCAGACATCTTGATCTTGAGAACTTAAGGGGTGGACATTTTTTCTGAAATAGAACTAAAGGTTCTGGGATTGGGCTCGGAGCGTGAACCGGAAAAAAAAGGCGACGGAACCAGACAATATTATTTGCGCCAAAACCGGGAATAGAGAAGTCAAAACGATTACGGTGGAACGATGCATTGTCGTTTCCAACGAACACGAGGGGGGAGGGGGAGGAGGGAAGAGGAGGAGGAGGACCAGCGAAGAGGAAGGATGAGAAGGAGGAGGATGACGAGGAGGAGGGCTCGTTCAAACCAAGGATGCCCCAATGATACTACTTCAGTGCGCTCCCGCACAGTGGTCCAACAAGAGCTGCGTGGCACGACATTCAAGAGTGTGGTGGTCCCAAGCTGCAGTCTCTCCGAGTTCTCTCCCTCGCTACCCAGGCTCCTGCTGCCACCACCACTTTTGAGCCCTGGAGGGCGTCGCTCGTGGCTCTGAACGGAGCTGCCCTCGACAGCCTCGACCTGGCCGCCCTCGGCAAGGGGAAAGATCGCCGGATTGGTGGCAGTCCAGGGCCCTGTGCGAGCACATGTCCGAGGCGTTCTCGGGTTTCCCCAGCCGCCCGAAGTCCAAGAGGATTAAGGGGAAGCCATAGATATTTCGTCAAGTGAGTATGCTAAAGCCCTGAGCCACCCGAGGCCTCAAAAGTTCAATCTCCAGAGGTCCATTTCACTCCACCTCACCTCCTCCCTCTTCCCTGATGACTGGATAATCGTTCTCACTCGTAGGCTCCTGGATTTGTTTTCTCTGAAGGCCCTTGAAATCAGTGCTCTCGACTGGGTCCTAGTGCAAGCCGCGCTTAGAAGCATGAAGCCATGCCGCCATGCCATGTCTGTGCTGTCATCCGTACTTGGTCTAACATGCCATGTCTGGCGCACACAACACCGTTTCCAGCAAGTTACGGATGCGAATTGCATGCTCGGGTGTCAGGCTTAATTGTCCTTTTCTCTAATCTGCTCTCCTCGTTCCTTTTTTTCGACCCTCCGTCTGACCCTCGCGTTCCTCGCCCTTGCCTTCCCATCCATTCCGGCTTTCGAATGTGCTGTCGCGGCCTACCTGTTGCACATGGAAGCCCAGGCCGCCGTCGGGCGGCAGTCAGGCCAGCGCCGTCCGAGGTGGAAGCTGGAGCGCTCTTGCCAGCGGTTCTCTTTGCTCTCAGGAGGTAGGCGAGGACTCAGGACACCCTGGAGTGCGCTCGAGGTGGAGGAGGAGAAGGAGGAGGAGGAGGAGGAGGAGGAGGAGGAGGAGGAGGAGGAGGAGGAGGAGCAGGACGAGGAGGAAAAATGCGAGGAGGAGGATGAGGAAGAGGAGGAGGAGGAGGAGGAGGAGGAGGAGGAGGAGGAGGAGGAGGAAACGGAAACGGAAGAGCAGGATGAGCAGGAGGAGGAGGAGGAGAGGAGGAGGAGGAGGAGGAGGAGAAGCAGGAGGCGGAGGAGCAGCGAGGAGGAGCAGGAGGACTAGGGGAGGGAGGAGGAGGAGGAGGAGGAGGAGGAGGAGGAGGACGAGCAGGAGGATGCGTCGAATTCAGCTTTGCCTCCCGGGTGCGTAGGACCCCGGAAGGGTAGCCCAGGCCCCAAGCTGCCGCCAGTCGTCTTGGGTTCGGCATCCGTTGTCGTTCCGGTCGCCCCTCCCCCTGGGGGGTGTTGTTCCCAGGTTCGCAGCGGCGCGCCCCCTCGTTTTGGCCCTCTTGGACCATCTCGCACGTGGTGCCTCCTGCCATCCCCCCCTCCCCGCAACGCATCGTTCCCCCCCTCTGTGCGTCCCGGGCACTGCTACAGTGCGTCCAGGGCCACAGTCTGGGGGGTGGCGGTTATGTTAGGCCCCCCCCCCGCCCCCTCTCGCCCACTCCACAACTCCCGTCACGGCCGCGAATGAAGAATGCGCCCTTCCCCCCAAAGAAGGGGCGCTCGCCAATTAGCAATTGACTGCGGGGGGCTCCTGTCCCATCCTCGTCGGAGGAGCCGCCTCCGTCCCCGCCCGCGCGGGACTCTCGTGCTAAGCGGGAGGGTGGCGCCGTGTGGGAGCGGGGGAAGGGGCGCGCGGCGGTCTGCCCGCACCCGCTAGGGCTTGCTCGCCACGTCGTATTTACCTAACAGCTTTTGCTGATAGGTTTCTGGTGGTCTCAAAAGAGAGCAGCAGATGACTCCACAGGGGGGTCGGGGCGGGACCCGGGGCGGCTGCCGCCGAAGCCCAAATCGCCTGGGACATCCTCGCAAAATCGCTCTTGGCGATCCCAGAACTCCATTCCCGGCGTACATTTTGGATGCCTGGAGCCAACTGTAGGCCACTTCGTGCTCTTCGACTTCCCAGATCTCCATTCCCGGGCCACATTTTGGATGCCCGGAGCCACCTGTAGGCCACTTCGTGGTCTTCGAGTTCCCAGAACTCCATTCCCGGGCCACATCCTGGATGCCCGGAGCCAACTGTAGGCCACTTCGTGTTCTTCGTGTTCCCAGATCACCATTTCCCGGGCCACATTTTGAATGCCCGGAGCCAACTGTAGGCCACTTCGTGTTCTTCGCGTTCCCAGAACATCATTCCCAGGCTACATTTTGATTGCCCTGAGCCAACTGTGAGGCTGAGGCTGAGGCAGGCTGAGGCTGAGGCAGGCTGAGGCTGAGGCCGAGGCAGGCTGAGGCCGAGGCTGAGGCTGATGCAGGCTGAGGCTGAGAGGCTGACGCTGAGGCCGAAGCAGGCTGAGGCTGAGGCTGAGGCTGAGGCCGGGGTAAGCTGAGGCTGAGGCTGAGGCAAGCCGAGGCAGGCTGAGGCTGAGGCTGAAGCTGAGGCTGAGGAGGCTGAGGCTGAGGCAAGCTGCGGCTGAGGCAGGCTGAGGCTGAGGCTGATGCAGGCTGAGGCTGAGGCTGAGGCTGAGGCGAGGGCTGAGGCTGAGGCCGAGGCAAAGGCTGAGGCTGAGGCTGGCTGAGGCAGGCTGAGGCTGAGGCTGAGGCTGAGGCTGAGGCTGAGGCCTGAGGCTGAGGCTGAGGCTGAGGCTGAGGCAGGCTGGCTGAGGCTGAGGCCGAGGCAGCTGAGGCTGAGGCCGAGGCAAGCCGAGGCAGGCTGAGGCTGAGGCTGAAGCTGAGGCAGGCTGAGGCTGAGGCTGTGGCTGAGGCTGAGGCAAGCTGCGGCTGAGGCAGGCTGAGGCTGAGGCTGATGCAGGCTGAGGCTGAGGCAGGCTGAGGCTGAGGCTGAGGCAGGCTGAGGCTGAGGCCGAGGCAGGCTGAGGCTGAGGCGAGGCAAGCCGAGGCAGGCTGAGGCTGAGGCTGAAGCTGAGGCAGGCTGAGGCTGAGGCTGAGGCTGTGGCTGAGACAAGCTGCGGCTGAGGCAGGCTGAGGCTGAGGCTGATGCAGGCTGAGGCTGAGGAGGCTGAGGCTGAGGCTGAGGCAGGCTGAGGCTGAGGCTGAGGCCGAGGCAGGCTGAGGCTGAGGCCGAGGCAAGCCGAGGCAGGCTGAGGCTGCGACTGCGAGAACAGCAGAATTCTACCTGGATTCTCACCTAAATCTTAAGGGGAATGCTTCCAGATATGCTTCTACACATCGCTGTTAGGTTGCTTTGCTGGGATATTTTTTTGCAAGCGGGAAGGCAGCCTTGTGGCGCGGAGGGGGGGCAGGAGGGAGGAGAGTGAGGAGAGAGGAGGGAGGAGGGAGGCGGAGGAGGAGGGAGGAGGGAGGAGGGAGGAGATGGCCAGGGGGGGGGGCGGCACGCGTGCGAGCGCGACGCCGCGAGCTCACTGAGTGGATGCCGACGTCGCCACGACGACGCCGATGTCCGCCGCGTCGCACAGCTAAGGGCCACGGCAGGGCCAGAGCGAGCCGCGGTTGGGGCCGTCGGGGGTTTTGAGGAACCCAGCAGTAGTTCCTCCCCCTCCTCCTCCTTCTCCTCCTCCTCCTCCTCCTTCTCCCTCCTCCTCCTCCTCCTCCTCTCCTCCTCCTCCTCCTCCTCCTCCTCCTCCTCCTCCCTCCCCCTCCTCCTCCCTCCTCCTCCTCCCTCCTCCTCCTCCCCCTCCTCCTCCTCCTCCTCATCTTCCTCCTCCTCCTCCTCCTCCTTGAACCCAGCAGTAGTTCCGGCCAGCAGGAAGGGCAGGCAGGCTCGAGGTTTAGAGTTCTGGAAGGCTTCTCCCCGCTTTCGGCCTCGGGCGGGGGCCGTTTTCGGGCCCCGGGGCCGTGGAAGACGGACGTTGGGCGCCAAGCTGCACCAGATGGACCCTGGGCGGGGTTTGGGACGGATTTGGAATGGGTTGGGCTCCGCCCGTCTTTTCCTGACCGACTCCCCCGGGTCCCAGCCAGCTCAGACCCCCCAGGCCGCTTCCAGAGCTGCGGCAGCGTGGTCGGGCAAACTGGCCCCGCCCCGCCCCCCTCGAGGAGTCCTGGCCTCCTCCTCTTCCGTGCGGTGCGGCCAGCGGCAGGGACTGGAGGGCGGCGCTTTCGAGCGGGGGGGCTCACCTCACGCGGTGGGCTGTGGAAGGCCGCGCCCCCCCGCCCCCTCTTTGTCCCCCTCGGGCGCGAACCCATCGCGCGCGCCCGTCCACGTCCGCATTGGCCGCGCCCCATCAGGACCACTTCGCCAAGCAATACAAGCAGACCATCGGGGTGGACTTTTTCGTCAAGCGCGTCACCCTGCGGCAGGAGACGGGGGACGTCAACGTGCCATCCTCAGTTCGGTGTGCGGCGCGGCGTCGGTGAGGGGCCCCCTCCGACCCCTCGCCTCGTGTCCCCCCCTCATTTGCCTCCCCCGACGCCCTCCCCTTTCTCCCTCTCCCACTTTGCTTCGCACGTGTGGGTCTGGCCCAGGATTAGAATGTGCCGACCTACTTTAGCCTTGATCGCCAGAAAGGGGTTGCGAACACCAAAAACGTATCGAGACAACACGTGTTTCACGTATCCGGTCCTGGGAGGCGTTGCTCGTTCGGCATTTCGTTGGCGTGTTGGGCCGACACTGCTACGATACTTTTCAGGGTGCTCGAAACATGTATTCTCGGATGTGGTCCGGAAGTCCGATGGGAACAACAGAAGCCCAGGAGGTTGCCAGCCGGGGTGCCAGGGATGCCAGGGAGGCCTGCGTATGCCGGGTGCCCCCAGTGATGCCAGGGAGGCTTCCGCATGGCATAAGGCGACGCCCCCTGTCCAGGCCAGGGGCACCTTCCGCCAAGGACGTCGTTATCGATACCCTGCGGGAGACAATTTGCTGGTCTCGGCTCGGGTGGCGGCGCCGTGCGGCTTGACTTCCTGCGAGTGGCATGGCATGCGAGTTCCTGCTTGACTTCCTGCGCGGCTTGAGTTCCTGCGAGTGGCGTGGCGTCACTTCCAGCAGTGGATGTGCCAGGTGTTTTTGATTTCGTGTCGTTCACGAAGAGTTTGCCATCGGAGCCAGGAGCAACTCATTATTCGCTGATCTAGTATTCGAAGTAATCACCGCAGGGTATTCTGGCGGCGCGGCAGTTGGCCAAAAGTTTTGGCACAGACGCCCTGCTTGCAGACGCAGCATCGTAGTCGTCGTCATCCGTGTGTGCGGGCCTGGCTTCGGGGATAGAGATGATCATCACGCTCTTGGACGGCTGGGCAGCGACGTTTCAGCCTGTTGGAGGATACTCGGCACTACTATCGTTACCATTTTGCCGTCTTGTCCCGAATGCCACCTCACGTGCCCGACCCTCCACGCCGCGGCTTGCCAGGTTTGCATGCAGATCTGGGACATCGGAGGCGAGCGTGCCAAACGAGCGGGCAAGCACGACGAGTACAGTCGGGACTGATAATACGGATGTGCAGTAAGGATGCCCTTGGACACCCGTGTTGAAGTTTCTTCGAGTGGGAGTTGCCAGCGACAGGGGTTAAGAATGGAGCGAGGAGGCAAGGATGCAAGAGTACCTTTCGGAAGGTTACCCATCATTACTATCGATTTCGACTGTAGGACGAGGGCGGACGAAGGTGATCAGGAGGAAGAGGAGGAAGCGGGCAGGGGAAGGATCTTCCACGCGGCTCACTCCCTCTCTCTCCCGTCTGCTTGGATGCTCGGTCTGCCTCCTCCTCGCGAATCTGCCGCAGGCCAGTCCATCGGCGGCAAGATGGTGACCAGCTACATATTTGGCTCTCACGCGGTCGGAGTATCTTCTGCCGATTAGCGTTGCTGGAGGGGCATACTTAGTGTGTTTTGTAGCTGCCCCAACGGCAAAATTACAGACTACGCCGATAAGTACGACTCCGCCCTTCATCGATTGTGTGTTCAGTGCTTCGTCAGCATCTCCAGGAATCTGTCACAGTTTCGACACCTCGAGCAAACAAAAGTGGCCGCACATGCAGGACGCGTAGGCCCAGCATTTCCAACGACCTGACACAAGGATGGTATTCCAAATCTTTAGGTTTGTCGCTCTGTCAACGGCGTTATTCCTGCTTGATCTTCCTCGTCAGAAAGTTCATCACACCTGCAGCTGGTATCAACGCGTGCTGAGCGCTAGGCAGAACGCCCTCCTCGCTCGCCCGATCGTGGTTTGACTCTGTCTCCTCTCGGCGGCTCGCCCAGGAGGGGGGAAGGGCAGAGGGGGCGGGCGGGCCTTCCAGAAGGCTCAGAAGGCCTCTCGGCTTTCCGAGAAGCTTTCTGAGCCTCCTCCGAAGCCGCAGAGGGTTCCTCAGAGTGCCAGAGGGCTTTCGAGACGCCCCGCCGCCTTCTGAGAGGGCCTGCCCCCTCTCACCTCCCCCCCTGGCATGGTGCAGCTCGTGTGCTGGAGCAGTACCCAACGACTGTGACGCTGGGGGGGAACAGATAAGGAGGAGCCCCCACAGCAGAAAAAAACGAAGGGGGGGGGGCGGGAGAAGGTGCGCCGCCCCTCCCCCACTCCTCCTCCTTTGGGGGGGGGGGCGGGAGAAGGTGCGCCGCCCCCCCCCCCTCCTCCTCCTCGCCCGTGCCGGGGCGAGACTACAAGGGGGGGAGGGACATCCCCGGGCAGGGGAGGTGCTCCCCCCCCACCCTTGCCCCCTCTCTCTCTCTCTCTCTTCTCCCGTGCCGGGGTGAGAGTCGAGAGAGGGGGGGTGGGGGCGCGCTCCCTGGCAGCGGGGGTGGTCTCCTCCCCTCCGCGCGCGGGAGGGAGAGCGAGAGAGTCAGGAGTGCTGGGGGGGGGAGGAGGGGGGCTCTTCCTCGCTCCGGGCGGGAAGGGACCAGGACAGCATCCACATCCGCCGAGTCCTGAGGACGGGGGGGGTGTGCCCCGGAGCGCGAGAGGCGAAGCGAGAGAGACTGGAGTGCCGGGGGTGGTGCTCTCCCTCTCCCCGCGCGGGTGGGAAAGAGGAAAGCCGAGTCTTGGGGGGGGGGGTGCTCTTCTTCTGGCCGGCGCGCGAGAGGGGAAAGGAGAGAGAGACACTGGAGCACTGGAGCGCCAGGGGGGGGGGGGAGGGGGCTCTCCCGTGTGCGGGGGGGTGCTCCTCCTTGTCTCCCCCCCCGCGGTGGCCGAGTGGTTTGTCCTGGGGTATCGCTCCCTCAATTCTTGGGAGGTTGGAGTTCGGCATCGGCTCTGATAGATCCGTGGTCGCCATGAGGCCGAATCCAGCATGATCCCGTGTAATCCGTCAGAATCGTGTATTCCGCTTGATCCAGCTTGATCCCGCGTAATCCGGTTGTGTCCTCGGCTTGTTTTGGCTCAGTCGTTTTGAATCGCGCTCGCTAGCTTAGTTGCCTCCTCAATTTCATTTGGTTGCAACTCATGGGGGTCTTGCGTGCCCTTCGAGTGCATTTGCGTGCGCGAGCGCCCGGTGATCGATGAGAAAGCGCCGATTTGGCGTCGATTGAGTGTCGATTAGCGTCGGTTAGCGTCGATTAGCGTCGGCCAGCGTCGGTTCGCAATAGCCAGCACGACGACGCGGGTGGCGCCCAGGAGTTAGCTTCAGAGCTTTCACGCCACACGCAGCTTCCGCCCGGCCTCCGCGCCTCGGCTCCGCTAGGCGCGGCAGCCGCCGGCCCTCTTCGGCTCGGTCCTCGTCCTCGTCCTCCTCCTTCTCCTCCTGGCTCAAGTCGGAGCTTCCCTCCCGTCCCGACTACACGGTCGGGGCCGAGGTGGAAGGGCAGCCCTCCCACCAGATTTGGCTGCCTCGGCCAGGGTAGAGTACAGTACCACTGCACTGTACATCGTTTTTTTTGTCTGGCCGCCGCGGCGCACGACCAGGCAGTCTCCCCGTCGCGATGGGAGGCAAGCAGTGGAAGAAAACACTACTGCTAGACCCTGGGTTGCTAGGGATGAACCTGGTCTGGCTCTGGTGGACTCGCAATTCACGAATCATAACGCTGCATGCGGAGAGAAGCTCGGACATGGCGCCGCCCAGCAGCAAACCGGGGCTGATCATGGTGTTCATTATGGAAGTGGTGCCCAGCAGCGGGGTGACAAACCCAACCGCTGGTCACGCAGCCGCGACAGAGGCAACGACGCCCCGCCGACGGATGGTCACTTCACGCCCCTCGCCTAGGAGTGCCCCGACTCCGCCAAGGACGAAGTGGCCATATGCACCCTGGCGGTCACCTGATGGAAGAAGACTGTGGGACTGGAGGGCAAGCAGTACAGCAAGGCCCTCGAAAACACCCGCCTCGCAATGACCAATGTGCTCGAAGGAAACTCTCGTGACGCCAATATCTCGTCCCAGGCAGATCAGCTACGACGTCAGCGATGACTGCTGGAAGCCAAACGGGCGACCTGCAGAATAACTTCGTCAACCTGGACAGGGCAGCCCAGCTGCACGACAAGTCCGTGGAGTCGTACGTGGAATTGCAGTCAGAGGTGCAGGAGCTGGAGGCCCAGCACACAGCATCAACCAAGGCGGCCGCCATCGAGGCCGCAGCCCGTTTCAGTCAATCAGAGCAGCCCGCCACGCGTACGCCTTCGTGGGCCCGCGTTTCCTGCAGGGCCTGCCGCCCAGCATAGAGGAGGATCTTCAGGCAGTCGCACTGAAACTCGGGGATGAGTGGCAGCAACTTCAAGAAAATGCATCAAGACAGCATGGCAAAGCCCCAGACCAAACCCGTCCACCAGCAGTACCTGAGAAGGTGCCAGTACCTCGCGATCGGTTTGGAGATAGCTTGGAAGCAGACGCGGCCGTCGCTCGCATTCTCAACCAACTTCGGCATCGAGTGGCCCAGCGACGACGCCAACCTTGCGCAGAGGAGGCTTGCCATGCGCCAGATCTTTACGGGTGGCTCGTCCTCTGCAACAGGCGTTGCAGCAGGAGCTGGGGCAAGGATGCCGCGAGGGTAACGCCAGTGCGATCTTGTAATGGACTCCGGCCAGTGCCGCCGATCCGGGGGGCTCCAGATTCGGTGATCTTGGAGTCGTCGGGGGCGCTGTCTGGGAGGGAGGGCGCTCTTGGAGTCGTCGGGGGCGCTTTTCGGAGCTGACGCGCCTTCTCGGGGGGTGCCTGGAGCGGTCCCGGGGGCGGTCCGGGGAGGGTTCCGAGGGGAGTGTCCTGGGGGCGGTAGCGGCTAGATCTGATGGGGGTCCCTGGGACCCCCCGAACATATTGGGGATGCGCAAATCATGCAGATAATGCCAGATGGGGGACCCCCCCCCCTTCCCTGGGGGGGTCCAGGGAGGGTCCCGAGGGGGGCGTCCTGGGGGCCGTCCCTGGTGACACCCGAAACTTCTTGGGGATGCGCAAATCATTAAGAACACGCCAGATGGAGGACCGCCCCCCCCCTCCCCCCTTCCCCGGCAGAGCTGCCCTGGCGACCCCCCCCCAAGCAGAGGTGAAGCTCTTGCTTAGGCTCAGAGCTGGAGCTCTTGCTGAGGCCCGGTGTAGTTCACGCGCCGGATTGGCGGCCCAGCGACGACGCCAACCTTGCGTAGAAGAGGCTTGCCATGTGCCAGATCTCTACGGGTGGCTCGTCCTCTGCAGCAGGCGTTGCAGCAGGAGCTCGGGCGAGGATGCCGCGAGGGTAGCGCCAGTGCGATTTCTGAGCTTAGCTGCAGCAGCTGGCCCACCATCTTCAAGTTCCAGGGGAGCTAGATTGCAAAATCATGGCTCGGCCAGAGTAACGGATGGCTTGCTAGCAGGGGGTGTCTCGCATTTTGGCCACCAGCCGTTCTGGGCGCCTAGGGTTTCCCGTGCCAGGGCGCTGGCATGCCAGTGCGCAGCGGCTTCGATTTGGGTTTCACCAAGCTACCAGGCCCAGAAGTGCTTCCAGAGTCTAGGGTGATGGCCATCAACTTTGAGGCCCCAGGATATCACCACCGGCGCGTAGTTTTTTTTTGGTTTTTGGCGGGCACCGCCGGCTTGAATCATGAGGCGCCCACTGCTCTCGCTATCCTTGTTCAGGTAGCCTCCGCGATCGCCCTGCCCTTAATCGCGGCGGGGTTTTCCAATGCGCGCCCGAATGGAGCGATAGAAACCAAGTTCCCGACCGCGGCTTGGGCCCATGCCGCCTCTCCCAAGGCTCGCGCGCTCAGTGCGAAGAGGGGCGAGTCAGCGATCGATTTTTTCTTTGAATCTGTTTCGCGCACTTGAAGCAGCCTCGAGATGTTGTAGACTACCCCGGAAGCCCGCGTCGCCCAGCGGCAGCGTATGTGGTGGCTGGGGCCCCGCATCTGATGCCTATTCTGGTGCGCAACCGTAGTGCGCGCGTGCAGCGGGCCCAGTGGGCCCCAGAAACACGCGCCCGTGGCTTCCTGGAGGTGGCGGGGGCCTTCTTGGAAGATCTGGGGCGCTTCGTCGCTCAGGTCAATTCAGCCTGTCCCTCGAGGTGCGCCCGTGGCCGTGGCGAGCACCACTCACGGCCGCCTCGTGGACGGCCTGCCCACCAGTTTCAGCGCCACCATTGGGGCGCCATTGAGAAGTGCCAGGCGCCGCGCCCAGGCGCCAACCATCGCGCGGGGCCCCGCCGAGGCTGTCGAGGCCAAGGACAGGCGGAATTGCATGGACGTAGCAGCAGCATTCAGGTGGCCACGGAACAGGGCCATCAATGTTCGGAAGGGGGGCGGGGCAGAAAGATCTGGAGCAGCCGCGACAGGCCCATTTCCATATCGCCGCGCCGCCCAGCGATTTAGCAGTTGCAGCAGAGTGCCAAGCTCCATTTGCGAGCGTGCGCGCGTGTGTCCAGGCCGCGCTCATGAGTGCTATCAACTGTTGGCCAGGTTTTGATTGGCCAAGTTCCCGGCGACCTGGATTCGAAGATCGCGGGGGCCCTCCGCCGCGAGATCTCGACAGTTCGCCCCGATGCAGGCAGCCCGAGGATTTTCTGGCCAGATGGGCCATAGGCAAGTGGTTTGAGAGGCCACGGGGCAGTCGCCGCGCGTCGCGGCATGCTTCCAGGGCTTGGGGCCCATATGAAGACATTTGGTCAGGTCGCCCGGCAGACGTGCCCGAGGCTCATCAGCAGCGTTCAAGCATGCGCTGGCAGGCCGCACCTGCCGAGCCAGATATTTCGGAGGCCGATTGGCGAGGTGGGGACCTTGCTTGCATTTTGCCCAATCTTCCTCGCAGCCAGTCGCAGTTTCAGTTGCGCTTCGGCCAGGGCCTGGGACGAGGCCGCCCAGGACGTTTCGGCGCCCTGAGGGGCGTCCAGCTTGATGTCGTGCGCGGGCGCCGAAGAGCCTTGGAACGCGCGGAAGCTTTACCCTCCCTTAGTAGAGCCATCGCCTTGGCGTTTATCGGAAATCGCATGCCAGGCCCAGGCCCAGGCCCAGGTTGTAGCTAGCAGCGAATGGGCGCGATGCCGGGGGGCTTGGATCTGGGGCAAGCGTCGCCAACTTGAGTTTCGAACTTGGGAGCGAGCTCGCCGCCGGAGACATCGAGACCATCTGGCCGGCGAAGGATGTTTTGAACGCAGTCAGCTCTGTAGAGGCAGAGCCCAGAACTTCGATTCTCGGACTCGCTCGTTGTCGTCGCGAGCAGTCAGTGTCAGGCGCCCCGCGCCGCGGCAATTCGTTCATCTGCCTTGCCAGCGGGGCGCCTGGAGGGAGGCATTGCAGCCAGTTGTTGGGCCGTCGCCGCTGTCGCGCAGCAGAACTGCCCGCCGCCGCGGGCGCCTGGTCGGCCCGGGATCCCGGGGCCCAGCCGACCATTCCAAACGGTTTTTCTGTAGCTCACCGCGACAGTAAGACGCGTGATTTTGTGGCAGATCTAGCCGCGGCCTCACCTAGCATGCATCAGTCGATCGTCGTCGATCTCGTTGCGACATAGTAAAGCAAAAGCTGCTGCTGCGCCGCGCGCGCCTGCGATCCTGGCCGTTTGAGTGGCCCAGCGTGGCGCGGGCGGGCCCTTGCCGGCCGCGCCGAGCCTGCCGCCGCAACACCGAGAACGCGCGGAATACAGGCCCCCGGCAGGCGGGACATTTTGGAATTGAGACCCATGGATTTACCTATGAAAAGTCTTTGGAAGCAAGGTGCCCTCCTGGAAAGTTGCCCGTTCGAAGTGCGCCGCGCTGTCTCGAGCCCTTTTCCTTGCTGCCCTCCAGGGCCCCGCTTGAAGATCAGCCCCGGGGCCGCGCCCCCTACTTGGACGTGATCGTTTTCAGAGCGTGCAGAGACCCTTCCAAGTCTGAGTTTTGCCTTCCGGAGCTTCGACTCGCCGCTGTTATTTTGGTGGCCTTCGTGGATGGGGCCGCATGCGAGGCCCTCGCAGGGGCGCTTCCGTCGGCCTCGTCAGAGTCGGGCGGGCGCGGCAAGCCCCCATCTTTTTCGCGAGCAGGGGTAGATTGGACAACTGGCGCACATTCGCCTCGCCAGCTGTGCTTCGCAGCAGGCAGGAGCAGCTGGCCGACGAGGCCGCAGTCGAGATCGGATCTGATGCCGTCGGCCTGCCCCATGCGAACGCGCGTTGGCAGACAAGAGGCCACCCGCGCAAGGTGGGGGTGTTTGAGAAGCATTTCTGACGCAGCCTAGTTGGGCCCGTTGTGCAGAAACATATGCGACGTGCGCGCGCGGGTCCTCCGTCGACGACTTCGCCCACTGAGCTGCCTCCTGCGCGCGTAATCTGGGAGACGAACATCTTCGGGGAGGAGATGTCGGGAACCTGAATGAACCCCGCGTTTCCTCAGTGTGCGCAGGATTTCTGGAGCCCCCGACTTCGAGAACCCTGGGGTCCAAAGGTCTTGAGTCATCTAAGCGGAGTTTGGGTCCCGCGAGGAGCTTTCGCCCCGAGAAGCTTTCGCCGGCGAGGTTTGCGCCGACGGCGGCGTGGCCCGATTTCGCCGCGCTTGCTTTCGCGCTCCAGATAGTTCGACTTGTGCGCGCCTCTGGCGTCCCGTAGCCAGCGCCGCCCAGCCTGCCTCCCCATCGGCATAGTTCGCGGCCCACGTCGCCGTCATTAAACTTAAAGAGATTGCCCCTATCCATTCGGACTTCGAGGGAATTGTTGTCACGCGCCCCAGCAGCCAGCTAGTCGGAAAAACGTGATTGGCGATCTTCGGCCCTTGGCTAGTCGAAAGGATCCAGGTGCCATGGATTTGTTTCGGTTGCCAGGGTCAAGTTTCGCCTGGCTTTGAGTGTTCGAGATAGGTCCTCTGACCAGTGGGCCGTTGCTGCGCGAACGGAGGAAGCTGGCCGCGTCGCCAAGTTTGTCGCCGCGCAGCTCGCCCAGCCCTCGCAAGCAGAGCGGGGGGCTGAGCAGCATCCAGATCAGATGACGAAGCGTTTCCTGAATTACATGCCCAATGCTCTTTATTGCGGCCTGCGATCGCCCCCAAATTTGGGGGCAAGGTCCTAGAGGACCCAAACAAAACAACCAACCCTGCAGCAGGAGTATGTTCGATCGCGGAAGTGTGGCAAGGCTGAGCTGATTCGGGGGTGGCGCTTTCGGGCCCTCGTTCGGGCGCCCCCCCCCGCCGCCCCGCCCGCCTCCATCAGTGTTGCCCAGAAGGTATGTGTCCACGTTTTCGGGAGGTGCCCATGAGCGCCTCTAGGAAGGAAGGCGCCCCAAGGCTGGAAAGCGCAGCCTGGTGGTTCCCAACCCCCTGGTCCCAATTGATAGGTCTTCCTCCCCTTTCCCCCCCTCCTCCTCACTTGTTCTCCTCCCCCTCACCCTCCGCCTCCTCCTCCTCCTCCTCTTCCTCCTCCTTCTCCCTGTGTTCTTCCCCTTCCCCTCCCTCCTTCCCCGAAGGCTGGGAGGAGGGACGGCCGAGTGAGGCGCTGGGCGCTTCACGGAGCGGAGGGGGGTGTCGAGCGGCGGGAGGGATGGGGCGGGCCATCGGGGAGCGACCGGCGAGGCGAGGCGCGAGGGGAGGAACCTGGGAACCAGGAGCGAGGAGAGCACGAGCCGTCGGCGGAGCGGGAGGAATTGCGGCCGTCGAGGCCGCGGATGCCGTTGTGGCTGGAGGGTGCTCCTTCGCGGCTGTGGCCGCACCTGACAGCCCCTCCTCCTCGTCGTCCTCCTCCTCTTCCTCCTCCTTGTCCTCCTTCCTCTTCTCTCCTCCCTCCTCCCTCCTCCCTCCTCCCTCCTCCCTCCTCCGTCCTTCCTCCTCCCTCATCCCCCCTTCCTCCGTCCTCCCTCCTCCTCCTCCTCCTCCTTCTCCTCCTCCTCCTCCTCCTCGTCCCCCTCCTCCTCCTCCTCCTTTTCCTTTTCCTCGTCCTCCTCCTCCTCCATCCTCCTTTTCCTCCTCCTCCTTCTCCTCGTCCCTTCTCCTCCTCCACCGCCTCCTCCTCCTCCTCGCAGGGGCGATGGGCGGCGATGAGGGGGTTGGCGGGGTGCTCGTGGGAGTTGGCAGCGGGCGAGGGGCGACTGGGCGAGGGAGTGGGTCGCGGACTGCATGGGATGGAAGGCGGCGCGGGACCGGAAGAGGGGCGCGGGGACGGCACTGTGGAGGGACAAGAGTGGGGGAGGGAGAGCGGAGTGGAGGATGGAGGAGAGGGAGAGAGGGAGAGATGTTTGGAAGAAGGAGGGAGATACATGTAGAGCACGGGGCGATGTTTCTTGCACCCTTGGAGAGCAGCGTCGGCGCCAGACGGCGTCGGGAGCAGCTTGGCGCGGGCGGGATGGTCAGTCGAGCACGGGTGGCCTCGGCTGTTCGGCCCGCTGAGTGTCCCGCTGGATGTTTCCTTGGCTGCGGTCCGTTGGCCGCCTCACCACTCCCGCATGTTGCCCGTTGAAGCCTATCCTTCGGCACGCAATCGCAATAATTTCACGGTCTGCTCTCCTCCGCGCCTCCCTTGTGTGCCTGTTGTGTTAATGTTGGTTCCGAAGCGTCTCTCGGTTGCCCCGACCGCGGCTTGGGCCAAAGTCGCCGCGACAAAAGGGTGTGTCATTGGCTGCCCACCGTTCGAGCAGGTCGTCCTTTGCTACGACATCACCAACTACCAGAGCTTCCAGCACTTAGAGGCTGTGGCCCGGGCGGGGGAGAAGAGAGGGACGACAATAGGCGGACGTTGGGGCGTCGATAGTGGCTTCAGTTGCAGGAGATGGTGGTGTGGGTTGTATGGGGGTGGGGGGAAGGAGGTCGTAGGAGGAGAAGCAGGAACAGGAAGAGGTGGATGGCTGATCGTGAGTAATTCCATTGTCGGATGAAGGTGATTTGGGGGACGCTCGTTTCCCCTGTACCAATCCTCCCCAGGAGGCTGGGTGGAGAGGCCGGAGGGAGCGGAATTTTGAACAGGAGTGAGGAAGGAGGATGGAGGGAGGAGGAAGCAGCGCGGACGGATGTGACGAGAGGGGAGGGTAGAGAGAGGAGTGCGGATGGAGGAGGGGTTGGCAGGGAGATGGCGGGGGTTCGAGGGGGGGAGGACGGCGAAAGAGGGAGGGGGGGGGGAATACAAGGTGGAGGGGAGGAATGGGAGGCTGAATTGGTCGGGGCGGCGTGTGGACGCTGCCTTGGACTTCGGTGTCAGCAAGCAGGCGCTAGGTAGCCACGGTGAGGCCATGGGTCTTGCAGATGCTGTAGTTTCGCGTAGCCAGAGGCGGAGACATCGATGGAACGGAACCTGGGAGGATGGGGATGAGGAGGGGCATCGAGATGGAGGCCGACCAGGGCGTAACAGTTTGACTTTGGCCTCCTGGAGGGCCCTCTTGGAGCCCCCCTGGGGCGTCTTGGGAGCCTCTTGGGCCGCATGGAGGGCATCTTTGGCTGTCTTGGAATCATGAAGAACCGTCTTGGTGGCACCTTAGCCCCTCTTGCGACCGTCTCGGCCATCTGGGAGTCATCTTGGGACCTTCTTGGAGGCCATCTTTTGACCATATTGGGCGCGAAAGCTGGTGGAATGCGCCTTTTTGCTGTCTTCTCCCGCTTCGCCGGCCGGATCGGCCGATACCGTTAATCGGGAGTACGTTGCATTTGCCAAAACAGTGAGTGGATTCGGCACGCTAACAACCTTCCTTGTAAGCAACATGGGCAGCTGATCGAGTGGCCTTCGGCCCATCAGAGACTTCTTGGAGGCCTCTCGGAGTCTTTCCGTATGCCTCTCGGGAGACTTCTGGAAGCTTGTTGGGGGCCTGGCCTCTCGGGGGCCTCTTGGTGCCTCTTGGGTACCACTGTTGGCCTCTTGGGGGCCTCTTCGCGATGTCGGGCCTGATGTTTGCAACATATGGCTCCTGCGGCCAGTTCGAGATTTCCCCCTCGGGGCGACCGCATTCAAGACGTTATAGCTTGTCCAACGGTTTCTCGCCCGGGGAAATTGATACACGAAGCGCCCTGGGATGTGGCCCCCCATGCGTAAACAGCAAAGGAAACCCCCATTCGTATCCGCAGCTGCGGATGATACTGAGGAGGGCGCACTTAGCAGTTTGAAACATTACCCTCTCCCTATGTGTGGCATCTAGCCTTACCTCGATGCAAATCTTAAGGATGCCCTCCGTTTCTGCGAGCACATCCCTCTCTGATTGTCAGCTCGTTGGGCTCGCCCATCCCAGGCACGGGGACAACGTTTGTCTCTGGTTCGCCAGGCACGCGCCGGGGTACGGAAGCATCCTGTCGGATCCCGGGCACCCGTCCGAGAGCAGAGCGTGCAGTTGGCCCACCGCAGGTGCCAATTTGATGGAGGCAGTGTCGCGCGTGGGTCGCGGGTGGGTCGCGTGGGTCGCGAGTGGGTCGCGTCCCTGGTGAGCTGCAACGCGGGTGTGTCGCGGGGGTTTGCAGAGGGGGGTGGACTGCGACGACGGCAGTATTTTCAATGGATCTTCGATCGCAGCCCCTTTTGGGGGTGTATCTTCGTTACCTGCCACGCGTAGTTGGCGCAACCCCTAAAACAGTAAGAGGCGAGGAGGAAAGGAGTGCGGGAAGAGATGGATGAGGGAAGGGGCAAGGGGATGGATAATGGATAGAGCACGAGAGATATTTGCAGGAGGGGGGGTGGAAGCAGGAGACTCAGCGGCAGAGCCAGACGGGCGGGCCAGGTGGGATCACAGTAAGACCGTGGGGATTTCATCTGCTCGCGTGTCATTCAACATGTCTCCCAAGCCCTCGATAGCCACCCTCTTCGTCTTCGATCGTGCCCCCCGTGGGGGTATATTTCCCTTACCTGCCACGTGTAGTCAGCGCAGCTCCTAAAACAGGGGAGGGGCTGCTTCTGCTGCGAACGGTACATGACGATGAACGTGTTTACAGCTATGAAGTCACCACAAACCAACTAAGAAAGAAAGACAGCTGGAGTGATGACAGCAAGGAAACGGCCTAGGGGGAGAACAATGAAGCAAGTCAGCCCCGTCAAGCCTGCCCCTCCGTGCCGAACAGAGCGAGGGGAGGGAGGAGGGAAGGGACAACGGGGGAGGGAGAAGGATGGAGCACAAGAGAGATATTAGCAGGATGGGGGGTTAGCAGCAAGGAAGCAAGCGGCGAACTCAGACGGGCGGGTTGAGCGGGTGGACCCGAAAAAGCGTGTCGGCCTGGCCCGGAAGCCGTCTCGAGAGGGCGGTCGTTGAAGCGTCAGTCCTGTATAAATCGCGAGGGATTCTTACCCGATAGCGCGATCCCTGGATACACTGTGAAGAATTCCCATGCGAGAGCTAGATTTTGAAGAAATCGTGAGGAAGTATCCAGCGAGGGCGTGAGCCGTTGTTGAATACTCATGTCTCGAGAACTATTCTGTTAGATATCCGGACGCGGTTCCGCGCGCTCTCGCCTCGACGCCGGCTACATACTCTCTGAAAACGAAGCTCCCGCGCGAGCGTTGGCTTGAAGGGCCCGTGGAGGCCCGGCTACGACGACAACGGCTCCCGCTCGATGCTTCCTCACAATTTACCCCGAGACACCCTGGCCAGAGAGGCCCCCAAACTCAGGAACGGCGCTCTCGCTCGAGATGTCCTCGCAGTTCAGTCAAGTTCGCGGAGGCCCAGCCGCGACGACGAGGGCTCCTGCTCGATGCTTCCTCACGATTTATTCCGAGAGCGCCTGGCCAGGAAGGCCCCCGAGCTTGGGAACGGCGCTCTCGCACGAGACTTTCTCGTGATTCAGTCGAATGGGTGGAGGCCCAAGTACGACGACAAGGGCGCTCGTTCGATACTTCCTCGAGATGTATTCGCAAAGGCCCTTGCCAGAGAGACCCCCGAACTCAGAGTGGCGCTCTCGCTCGAGACCTTCTCGTCATTCAGGCAAGTTGGTGGAGGCCCAGACACGGCGACAAGGGTTCCCGTTCGATATTTTTCTATATGTATTCCGAGAGCCCCTGTCCAGAAAGGCCCCGGAACTCAGGAACGGCGCTCTCGCTTGAGAGTTCCTCGCGCTTCAGCCAGTGGCCGACAAGGAAGGTATTTCCCCCCAAGGGGGTGCAAACGAAGACGAAGTGGGCGGGTATCGAGGCGCCAGTGAGAGCGGACAGTCTTACACCGATTGTTGTTGTTGTTGTTGTTGTTGTAGTGCGGGGGCCAGGGGCCCGATCTGAGGCGCAGGAATTACCCCTTGTAAAAGATAAGGCAAGGTGCGACCCCCGGGAGGGGGGATCGACCATAGTTGGTTGTTCTCGGTCAGTGAGAGTTCACTTCGCCCCGCGGAGCCCCCCGCTCTGGCCACACCCTCGCCGTACCGATATCGCTACCCCCCCCGCCCGCCCCACGTGCTGCGTTCTTACCAGGATTTCCGGCCGAATCCAACCACGGCGACCAGGGGCGCGTAATGGCATCGGTATCTTTTCAGGCGACCGCAAACATGGATCCATGGGGGCGTGGATTAGCGACGGTTCCCGTTTCCATGGGGAATCGCGGCTTTCCGCCGCCGAATGAGGCGGCCCCGGCCGCATTTTGGGGAGGGCACCTCCCCCGATTTGGCGACCGCGCGCCAAATCCATGGATCGCTGATCCATGCGTGCGCGCCCCCGACAGTTGTCTACCCGCATCGCTTCTCTCGCAGCCGCCTCTGCCCCTGGCGCTGGCCCTCAGGACTGGTACTCTCTCGTCAGGCGGACCTTCGCGGGGGCGCAGATGCCGTGCCCGCCCCCCCCCCCCTCCCCCTTCCTTTGGCGATCAGGCAGGCCGCTCTCGAAGAGTCGGTACGATCCAAAGGGGTGCAGAGTTGGGTACGAAGGCCGATAGCAGCTCTTGCCCGTTTTGATCAGGACTCGCTGTCGGTGTCGCCTCGGACGGTGTCCATTTGAGGCAGCACATCCACCTGTCCAACAGCGGGCGCTGTCGGTTTTGGACCGCACGTCCTGTTGGGCATCGTAATTACCCACTGTTTCCATACCCATTCCAGGCGTGCCAAAACAAGCCCCCCAAAGATCGGGCCAGACGAAAGGGGGGGATTGGGAAAGGGGGGGTACGAACTTTGCTGCATGCAGCTGGTTTCGGCCTCACCGAGGGGCCCATTCCTCGGTACATAGCGCCCTCCCGCGCCGGGAGGCGCCGGGAACATCGGCTACGTGAGCTGAGTCTCAAACTCCCCCCTTTGCTATCCCTCCCTTTCGCCCGACCCGAAAAGAGGAGGAGCTAGTCGCCAGGAAGCAAGCGAATCCTGCAGGGCAACGCGCCCCGAGGTGTTTCTCCAAGGCCTCAGGCTCCCAGGGCCCTCCACGGGCCCCGGGGGCCGTCAACAACAGCAACCCTGAGGATGCAGAGCTCGTCCCTGGTGGGAGGTCCTGGGAAGCACGCCCCGCTTCCCCTCGGGGCACGCTTGCTGCATGCCGATGGTGCCACCAGGAGCGATTTGTGGTTTTCCTCCCCTCCTCCCCCCCTCCCTCCCTCCCTCTCCCTCTCCCCTTCCTCCTCTCGAGGTTGCCTGCATGTCGATGCAAGGCCTCCCACGGGTCAAAACGTCTCTTCGTTGTGTACAGTCGAGCCTCTTGCAGTGCAATCGATGCTGTGGTGGATGTTTTGCAATGGACACGCCGTCACCTGTCGCAGGTTCCTTTCCTTTGCCAAGGAGCAGCTTCTACCAGGCCTCAAAAAAGGACACACTGAGGGCTCGGCATCAAGACCTTTCTGAAGGTTCTCTCAGTGCGTGAGGATCAGGTCCGCAGATCGCAGTCGCTCGCGAAAGAGGAACACGTTGCAGAACCATTACTGACCAAGAGAATCTTATGCCCTACGATAGTGTGCAGACCCTTCCAGCTTCGGCCAGGAGGGCGTAGCCAGGGCCCAGGATGGCCCTGGCCAGCCATGATGGTGTATATCACCACCCACCAAACCACCCCAACCCAACCCGAACGCCTCAATTTGCCCTCCATTTCCAGTGGGGGGGGGTCGGGGAAAACTGAAAAAACACATGGAACCCGTACCCCCCCCCAACCCGAAATTGGGGTCTTCGGGTTGGGTTGGGGTGGTCTGGTAGGTAGTCAGTATACAGGTGCCTTCGTGGTAGAATGACCCAGGCCTTGAGCGTCTTGAGTAACTACTTTGACGGCTGGCTCTTTACGCTTCTGGCCTCCAGGAGCAGGTTTGTGCCCCGAGACTCTCAGAATAGAATGCCGTCCCTAGGGGAGGTGTCGAGAGTTGGTGAGGAAGCCTGCGACTCGAAAGCATCGAGACGTCGGAGGTATGGGAATCAGGCCTGTTTCTTCACTGCAGTCCTCGCCTGGATTGTGTGGAAGTGCACTAGGTGCCCGAGCGACAAACTAGACAAGCGAGAGTCACAACATGCGTTTGCATTCGGTGTCGAACTCGTTTTGCCGATCGTGCAGCTCTCGCAGCGCAGTCGTGAGCCATTTTTGCCTCAGCGTCTTCAGGCAATTGCCAGATGGGAAATTGCGTTAGCTGATGGAAGTTGTTGCTCTAGTCGTCGTCGCCCGCCGCCTCGTGGGAGAGAATGAAGAGAGCCAGAGTACACCCAGTGCACGCACCACTCATGCTACAGTCCACCCTCCTGTTCCAAGTCCTCTCATCATTCGCCAGCACCAGTGATGTACATGGGAGCTGGATCAGATACACATGACGCGGCAAGCCCGGCCGAGGTCTGCATGCATGCGGCCGGGCATCTTTCAGGCGATCGACACTGCTCTGGTCGGGCTCGCCAGCTTTTCCGCACGTGCATCCAGCGAGTGTCCCCGGGATGGCCCACGCGGGGAGCTATACACGCATGGTCTCTCCCCTCCTCCGCGGCCCGTTCCTCTTCTGTGGAGATGCGCCTAGCAGTAGCGCCCGCGTAGATGGCCACGGCCGCGGTGCGCGCTCGCCACCGATGCGACCAAGGAGAGAATTCCAGCCTTCTGGCCTCCCTGGGACACAGAAATCGGCAGGGCTTTTCTACGGTGTTCAAAGAGTGCATTTGGAACATCCAAACGGGGCAACAACACCGCTCGTGGAAACGGACGAGAGTTCTTGGATTGGACCCAGCCTAGAACCGGGAACAACAACGGCGACGGAAGTTGGGCGGCATCGAAAACGCTGGCAAGCGTTTTGGATGCCGCTCCAGCTGGCACCAAAGCTGGCGAAGCGGAGCCGGTGCAGGAAGACCTTGTCGCTTCCAGGGCCATCTAAAAGTTCTTGGCATCGTTGTGCCTCGCTGCGGCTGAGATCGGGCGGGGCTTGGACGAAGATACACGCGTTCCAGAGCGTTCCGGAACGCTCCCACGTCCTGGAGTTCTCTGAGAAAGCCGCGGCGGCCGAGGCAACCGCCAGAGCCGCCGGATCTCAAAGATTGCCGATCCATCCTCGCCCGCATTTGTCCGCATCCTGGGTTCGTCTCAGCAGAGGGCCCCGCGGCCCTGCGCGGCGAGAGCCTCGCGGTGTGCTCTTTGGCGCCAAGGCGCTGCCGCCCAGCGGTCTCTCCGCAGGAGCGGGTGGGCGCGCGGAGGAGGGGCCGCCTTTGGCACACCAGGGGTGGCAAACACAACGCGCACGTGTACGTGAATTGTCGTGAAGGTCGAACCCAGACTCGAGCGACGTTCGCTGTTTGACAGAAGTTCTTGCTGTCGGTCTCACAGTTGGGACGACATCTGCCGTTGGCCATCGTTGATGGGCTTGTTTTCCACCACCACCACCATAATTTGAAGGGGGAGGAGGAGGAGGAGGAGGAGGAGGAGGAGGAGGAGGAGGAGGAGGACCCCCTCCCCCTCCAACTTATGGTGGTGGTGGTGGAAAACAGGCCCATCAATCGTGCCCATTTTTTCCATATCGCGAGGGCTCCTGGGGCGCGTCCCCAGGCGGGGTTTTCGGTACCCTGTGGAGCTGCCACCGCGGGCCCCAAAAGGTGCTGCTCGACGTGTCCGCGCTGCCAGGCCTCGAGCGCGAGCCCGATCGCCGGGGGCCTTGCGAGCGCCTGGCCGCCACTGTTCACATCAGGAGGGGAAGAAACACACAGACACAATTAATCCTCGATTCCCCAGAAAATATGGGAAAATATGGGCAGTGGGGGGGAAGACAAAAACCCAGAAAATATTGGAAAATATGGGACTATTTATATTTGTGTGTATTTATTTGTGTGTCCTAATTTCCCTTTATCACAGGCCTCCCAGCGGCCTCCCAGCGGATCACGATCCGCTAACAACTCTGGAGGCGAGAGATGAGACAGATGTTTTGCCCCGGAGTCTGAGCGATCCGATGGTTTCGGGCCGCAGCCCTGAGCGCTGAGCCTAGACTCGAGCGGGTGCGGTCCCGACCCCCCCGTTCATGAACATCCCGCGAGCCTCGCGCTGCACCAGATGGACCCCTGGAGGGGTCCGAGGACCGATGTTGAGCGGATTTGACCTTATCCCCCCTCCCCCCGGCCGATGTCTTCGGGGCCCGTGCAGCTCAGACCCCTTGGCCGCCTCCAGGCTGCGCGAACGTTCGTCGCATAGGGCTGGCCTCGAGGACTGGGGGGTCGTGCTCCTTCACGTGGCTGGGCGCTTGCATTCCACCCGCAGCGTAGGGAGGAGCGACTCTCCAAGGGTTAACCTTTGCATCCTTCCCCGTCGGCCCATCCTCGCTCTGATGATTCTACGTCCATGCGCTTTTCGTCAAGGGAGGGAAAACCACCCGGACCCGACAAATTACGTTTACTAAACGGCCCTGGGCGTTTACTAAGCAGTACTGCCTTGTGCGATTCCTTCTTTGGGTGGGTTTATTAAATGGCTTCGCTTGTCGGGGTGATTATTCTGGGGGTGATTCTGTGCTCTCTATTCCACATCTACAGTCAACTTCCAAGGAGGATGCGCAAATTTCCAAGGTTACCCTTGCATCGTTCCCCTTCGGCACATCCTTGGCCGCTTCCGCTGGCCGCGCCCCGCTCGCAGAGTTTCGGCATGGCCTTTCATGCCCTTGCATCCTTCTGGTCAGGAGTGACAGAACGACGTACACGTAGTTACATGAATCCACGCTGTCTTCGAGAGCACGCATTGCGCGGACGTTCGTGACACGCCGCGGGTCTCGTGGATGGCGGGACCGCGTTCACTTGGCGGCTGGCAGAGGGGGGCAGGGGGAGGGGGTGAGGCTTCTCAGAAGCACCCTTGCTTCTTGGAAGGCGCGGGCCTTCTCTGCAGATGTAGGGCTGGCGTCCTTCTGAGAAGCAGCGCCCTTCTCAGAAGCCTTCCCCCTCCCCCTACTCCCTTGTGCACGCCGCCGGCTCATGTATGTGTCGCCGAGCGCGTTCCACTTCTCGCAAAGTGCCTGCTCATGTCAGAACATCACGTGTCGAATCTGCTGCAATTCATCGCAGATCCCCCGCGGGGCGTCCGGGCCATTTGCGAGCAGTCACTCTTCGAGCAGTGGGACGCGCTCGTCTACTGTGGGTGGGCGCGCTCGTCCCTCGTGGGCTCCCTGCGTGGTGCGCCCCTGCCGTGCAGGCGAGAGGGAGGAAGAGGAGGAGGAGGAGGAGGAGGAGGAGGAGGAGGAGGAGGAGGAGGAGGAGGAGGAGGAGGAGGAGGAGGGAGGAGGAGGGGAGGAGGAGGAGGAGGAGGAGGAGGGAGGAGGAGAGAGGAGGGAGGAGGGAGGAGGGGGGAGGAGGGGAGGAGGAGGGAGGAGGGAGGAGGGGAGGAGGAGGAGGAGGAGGAGGAGGAGGAGGAGGAGGGGAGAG